ATGTTGTCTATATGTGTTAGGACTTGTTGTAATAGTAATGAATATGTTGGAAAAGGGTTCCATTGGAAATGAACTCATAAACTAATAAAGGAACTTTAGTCTCCAAACAAAGGCCTAATACCTTGACAACATTTCTATGGTTGACTTGAGAAACAATGCCAAGTTCCTGTTGAAATTCTTGATTTATTTGAGTCTTGTCTTTATCTTTAGGCTTCTTTACTGCAACTTGGGTGTTATCTGCCAAAACTCCTTTGTATACATATCCAAAACCTCCTTCGCCAAGAAGTAGACTTGGATCATAATTTTTGGTAGCCTTCACTAATTCTGCTTCTGTGAAGATTCTTGAAGATTCTTACCCTTTGGTGCTTCAACAACAAGCCGCCATTTTTCAAAAAATTCCTCTCGTTTCTTCGCCTCTTGTATAGAATGATGATCAGGAAAGCGATAACCATAATGGATGCAACCCCTCCAACAACTATTTAAACAAAATGAAAGATCAGTTATTGATGGTTAAAACTTAATTAATATTAAATAAGGAAAGCAAGAGGATAATGAATTGAGATAGTACTCGCAGCATCTCACCTGCTTGATGCCTGATTAAGAATTACATACGCAACATAAATTGATCCCTAAAATCAGTGTTACAAATGGAAGAGTTTGACAATTTTGACTTAATATCTCTCTTTTTATTGTTTGGCATGATATTTTGAGACTATAATATTTTGTTTATTGACTTGTACGAAGCATTGAAATCTTACTCGGGTCATATCATGCCGAAGCTTACGGGCCAAAAATCCAAAGGTATATCCTTTTGGTCTAAGAAGTCTTGCAATTAGTCCTGCTCCGGAGCCGTATTTTTCAAATTTTTAAAATGACATTTTCATAATTAAAATTGTAACATCTATAAATAATTTTATCTATAAAATATTTTTATTTGAAAAAATAATATAAAAATTTTTATTTGAAAAAACTAAAAATATTTATAAGGTAAATAAAATTTTTATAATTCATTACAATTTAATAATAATTAATTTTTTATTATATACTATATTATATTATATCCTTTATTTTAAAAAAATTTTACAAAATGATAAAAAATGATATTATTATTATAAATAATCAATAGTAAAAATTCAAAAACTTTTGCATACCAAATTTCTAAATTTATTTAATAATATTTTATTTCTTTTAATTATAAAAGTTATAAGTAATGTTTGTTAAGTTAAATTAAAATATAATTTTTTTATTATTATCAAGTGAACATATTTTTCATTTTGTGTTTTCTAATTTTCATTTTGTAAAAAAAACTGTTTTATTAAAAAACAGAAAATAGAAAACAGAAAATTGTTTTATTTTATGTAAGTAAACACACCCTTAATTATGATTATTTTACAATATTTTCCCTCCTTTACCAAATAAGGGGAAAAAATGCCATAACTTAACAATATGACTTTCAAAGTTTTACCAAATTATGATTATTTTACAATATTTAACTTAATGCAACATCTAAAGACATTTTTTTTCCTTATTGAGACAACATTCCTAGGATTAAGGACATAAACACCCTTTGACAACTAACATTACATTTCATTATGCTCCTTGGATGATTGGTGAGTCTTCAAATGCTACCAGTAGAGTACTCGACATCGAACGTTGTCAGGGAGTACATCGAACATCGAACGTTGTTCAGGCTAAGGGACTTCTTGTTGTTCAAACTTTGCAGTTCCAATGGTCAATGGAACGGTAAGATGATGAACCTAACAAATGTTCAGTCTTCTCTCACTATATTTTGATGATAAATCCCCTGATACATCTAACAATTTTCTCAATCTGCCAAGTGCTCTTCATTTTCTCAATCTGCCAAGCTCTTCTGAAACTTGTTTCATAGTTGGCCTTTTCATGCCACTAACTCGTACGCATTGTTTTGCAAGCTCTGCAAAAACTTCAATCTCTTCCATTTCAGTCTCACTAGCTACATCAAAACAAAGTATCCTAGATAGCTCATTATTTTCTAGAGATGACAGAAAATATTGAATGATGTTACTCTTTTCGCCAGATCTTGCTCTAGAATTTGGTTTCTCCCCTGTTAATAGTTCAACAAGAACCACTCCAAAGCTATAGACATCGCTCTTTTCAGTTAAATTACCTGTCATAAGATACTCTGGATCTAAATATCCAATAGTCCCTTGTATTCTTGTAGCTATATCAGATAGACCAGGAGAAATTAGTACTGAAGCTCCAAAATCAGATACTTTAGCAGTGTAAGTATCGTCTAAGAGTATATTACATGACTTCATGGATAATTGGGGATGGATAATTGGGGGATCTGCTAAAGAATGCAAATAATCAAGTGCAAGCGCAGTCTCTGCTGCTACTCTTAGACGATTTTTCCATGTGGCTAATATTTTAGACCTGTTGTAATGGATATGCTGGGAAAGGGTTCCATGGGAAATGAATTCGTAAACTAATAAAGGAACGTTAGTCTCCAAACAAAGGCCTAATACCTTGACAACATTTCTATGGTTAACTTGTGAAACAATGCCAAGTTCTTGTTGAAATTCTTGATTTATTTGAGTTTTGTCTTTATCTTTAGGCTTCTTTACTGCAACTTGGGTGTTATCTGCTAAAACTCCTTTATAAACATATCCGAAACCTCCTTCGCCAAGAAGTAAACTTTGATCATAATTTTTAGAGTAGCCTTACTAACTCTGCTTCTATTGAAAGATTTCTTCCCCTTTTGGTGCTTCCTATATAACAGCCTCCATTTTTCAAAAAAGTTCCTCTCCATTTTCTTCGGCCTCTGTATAGAATAAAATTGAACAAGAAGCAGTAACCACAATGGATGGCAATCCCTCCAATCAAGCTATTTAAACAAAATGGAAAGATCTAGATCAGTTATTGATGGTTAAAACTTAATATTAAAGAAGGAAAGCAATAGGATAATGAATTGAGATAGTACTCGCAGCAATAGTTGTAATGCGAAATCCTTGACAGCCAACTTTACCATCGCCACGCATCCCAAGTGGGCAACTGCATGTGTAGTTCCCATTTGTATTCTTGCAAGTACCATCGCACTTGTACCTTTCTCGTTCTTTGCACTCATCAATGTCTGTTATATAGATATGGAGCGATTCATTAGAGAATGAATAGAAACCAAGAAAAATGAAAAAGCCAAAGAATAATAAGACGAGGATGATTGCTTTGAATAACCTTTTGAATAACTACCTTGGCATCCCTGTGGAAGATAAGGATTTCCTGTAAATCCATCTGTGCAGTTGCACCGATATCCTCCGACATTTTCAGAGAAGAAACAATCAGTATTTTGGCCACAAGCATATTTTTTATCCGGATTTGAAGGCGATTTCGCCTCATCACATGTCTCCTCTCTTACTGCCCATTCAACAACATCAGATTCAAAATACTTTTTAGTCTCTCGCGAATATGGATGAGAAGAGAGCTGCAGATTCGAAAAGTTAAAAGTGCTTTCATCGGCTAGAAACGCAAATTCACACGGATTAAACTGCCAAACCCCGCTATGATTAAAAATGCTTGAGACTCCAATGTTTATTGCTGTAAGATTTCGCGGTAGCGGTGTCTGGCAGCATCCACGGCCTGAGCAAGAACCGTTTTGAGTAACATTACTACCACACCACGAAATACAGCCGCTAGCAAAACTCATTTCGCCATCTTCAAATAAGGCTAAAGTATCGCAACCAACTACTGTGAACTTGTTCCGAGTATCAGAGAACCGAACTGGCGGGCCGCTATGCAGTCTAATTTGTTGACTAAAATTGTGCGTTCTTCCTGTCTCGTTGTAGCAATTGTATGCTGAATCAATTCGCACGGAGATGGTTCCTTCTTTTATTGATATATTGTGAATAGGCATGTTTTCCCCAAAAAATAGACTCGGAGTATCATCACTTACATTGCAAGTTAAGATGAAATGCTTGTTTAGCGCACAATAGTCGGGATTGGAAATTCCAGATGTGAAGTTGATTCCAAATGGGTATGGAACATGAACAGTGCCACATGTGTCACGACAACCAGAAATTACATCTGTAGCTGTTGTCGTTTGGGATATTAATGGCAATATCACAAACCAGAAAGCCAACATCTTTCTTGGACAGATTTCAAATACACAATCTAAAGAAACTTAGACTTGTATAATGTATTTATGTAGATGAGTTATGCAAAGAAGATGATATTCATATAGGGTCTGGGAAGGGCAGTTTATTGACTATTCACTAATGAGTTTTTTTCTTTTTAATTTTTAAATGGAAATTATGGAATAGCAAAGACTTGGTCCGTCAGTTGACTGACTTAGCATACCAAGTTGGAAAAGTTGGCCTTTTATTAGAAAATGAAAACGTTACTAATGATATCCTAATTACATGACTACCTACCTAAAATCATAACTAAATTCCAATAGCATTACAAAAATAGAAAAATAATTTTTATTTTTCATAAAAATGTTAAAGCTAATTTTCTTATATATATTAAAATATAATCCAGTTTAATTGATTCAAAATAAACTATATTTATTATATTTATTTACCAAATTTCTAACACCATGCAGACAAAATTTATCAAAATAAAACATAATTAATGATCAAATTAAATATTATTATATTTATTTACTAAAATTTTCTAACACCATATGCAGACAAATTTATTTCATAATAAATAATAAAAACCATAAATTATATTGACTTTCAAATTAATCTAAATCAAAGTTTTCAACTTGCTATATTTCATTTAACATCATAGAATATTTAACACAGTTTATCTCTTATTACAAAACTACCTTAAACATCCCTCACTCTCCTCCTTCACTCCTACTCTCGGTATGTTAATCATCCACTTTAATCTAACTAATTATATATGAAAAATCTGCCTTTCTAGCTGATTTTGTCCACCTTTGCGTAGTGAAGACCAAAACCATTAGGGAAAGAAGAGGATCATAATGTGCTATCACCAGAATTCGATGGGCAGGCTGAATCTCACGGAGTCTTAGAACAAGTTCGAGACAGCTTCCCACTAAATTCCATAGTCTCGGAAAAGCATCATCAGCAAAAGCGTCCAGTGCTCAGGTTCTTGGAAGCCAACTTCGGCTATCAAGCAGTCACTCTATTTGGGGCATAAGTATCTGCTCAAGTGTGACCAAGAGGGCGCCGGAGATTACAACAACAACGCATTTAGTGGTGCCACATATCATTGTGACTCACAGTGAGGACCTGGTTCTGTATATTGTCAATGTTTGAGTATCCGTCTACCGTCTTGTTTCTGGCATAAGGAAGCTCTCCAATAAAGCGAAGCAGTTGGCAAATGGCGTAGGAGAAGTTGTTGGCCTTGACAAAAGCAGCTTCAGGATTTTCACTGTAGGTTATTTCTGTGCTTGGATCAACAGCAGCTGAGATTCCACTTAGAATAGTGGTTCCTGTTACATTACAATACAACATCAACAACTAAGGCTTAGTACAAAACTATTTAGGCTGAATATATGAATCGTTTATTTCAAATATTCATGGTGATCAAATTAATATCGACGCAAAGCAAAGTATAAGCCGGAAAGAGGGTTTTAGTATCTACCGGCTGTATAGTTGTTGCCATTAACGCCTTGCCAAGTGATAGTCCAACCACCACACTGATAGCCCAGATTGCTGGCATGGGTACCAGCAACAAGGATCCTGCCTGCATTTTTAGGTAGAGGAAGCAATGGGGCATCTGCGTTCTCTCCATTCTTCAATAGAACACTATGATCTTCCTCACAGCTTCCCTTTGTGCCAAATGCTCTATGAGCCTATTTATGAAGAGTGAGTATGATTCATATATCTGCGTTCTCTCCATTCTTCAATAGAACTAGTGACTTCCTCACAGCTTCCCTTGCCAAATCTCTATGAGCCTATTTATGAAGAGTGAGATTGATTCATAATCCATAAAAAAGAAATTAAAGCTCAACATTAAGTTTATTAACTAAACCTGGCTTCCAAGGCGGTCTGTAAAGACCTGATCAGCCCATGGATCTTCAAACAGACCTAGAGTGAATTTTACTCTTAAAATCCTCCTAACAGCATCATCAATACGGCTCATGGGAATGACATTCTTGTTGACAAGGTCGGTCAGTATACCTATGAACTCTGTATAATTGTAGGGAACCATAACCTGAAATTGCCAAAGGAAATATTTAGTCTCAGTGTCATATAAGCTAGCCTAAGAATACCCTAACTGTAAATGAAAAAGAAAAAAATTTTTTTGAACATATAGATATTAATTTTCATTTTCGTTGATTTTCAAGAATGAGTTCAGAAGAGGAAAGAGTTGAGCAATAACCATGTCAATGCCAGCAGAAATTCCTTCCAGGACTGAGTAAGTATAGTTTGCATGAGAAGGTGAAGTAATCTTATCAATACCCTGCCAATCAGATATGACAAAACCCTGCAATTGTCAAATAGAAAGATTAGATTAAGCAACAAAATTTTCAGAATGATAAGTGAATATCAAATAGAAAGAATAGCCAAGAAACAAAATTTCCAGAATAGGAAAATTTTTGAGTACCCTGAACTTGAAAGTGTTCTTAAGCAAATTGGTGACAAGATCATGGTTAGCATGCATCTTCTGTCCATTCCAGCTTGAATAAGAAACCATAATTGTTGAAACGCCTTTATAACAGAGAGCAAATAAGCAGGCATATGAATTCTCATCAACCCACGATAATCAATCACAGTATTGTTTTCATTAATGCCTCTGGTCGTGCCTCCATCACCCACAAAGTGCTTTGCACATGCTGCCACCTTATCCCTATTAGAGAAATTACAGAAGATTAAAGGAAATTAAGAGTGGTTTTTGATGAACAAAAGGATAATGTATAATTGAATGGAGTGGCTATGAACTTAAACTTACTTTCCAGATATATAAGGAACACCATTTTTAGGAGCATCACCTTGTAATCCAGATATAATTTCTGTCATATCTCTAACCAACATAGGATCTTCACCATAGCTCTCATAGCACCTTGCCCATCTCGGATCTCTACAGACCTATTATGTGTACAAAGCATATAAGAGTTGATTTTAATTAGCATGAAATGTATAAATAACTTCATAATTTAAGATACACAGTAAGTTAGGGCCCTAAAAGTTATTTTATCAAACTAGAGGGATGTAAATGCTAGTTACACAATAATAAGTTGGGAATGTTAAGTATTTTGTTTTCTTACCAAAAAAACCGGCTCTAAGATGATTTGATTGTGTTACCGCAATGCATGGAGCAAAAACATAATTAATGCCTGTTGCTCTAACTTCAAGAGCAGTTGCAGCCCCAATCCTCTTCACAAGATTAGGATCCCTGCAATAGATGATTGTGTTACCGCAATGCATGGAGCAAAAACATAATTAATGCCTGTTGCTCTAACTTCAAGAGCAGTTGCAGCCCCAATCCTCTTCACAAGATTAGGATCCCTGCAATAGATTTTTAGATATAAGGTTCTTATCATAGTAGAGAAATTATAATCTTATGGTAGGAGCAATGCTTAGCATGAAATCTACATTTTAATCTAAAATGGTTATTGCATAGTTGACAAATTTCAGTGATTATAGAATCAGATTGTCAAGTATTGATCAATGCTTTGAAGGCTGACAATAGGGGTGAGCAAACTTTGGAAAAAACTAAAAACTGAACCCAACCAAATTATTTTCAATTTTTGGTTCGGTTATTTTCAGTCTTTGGATCAGTTATTATAAACATTTATTCTCTGAATAAAACCGAATCGTTTGACTGAATCAGTGAGTACCGAACCGAAGTGACCGGTTTGGTTCGGTTCCGAGCATATTTCAGTTTCAAAGAAAAACTATTTTCGTTCTTTTTTTTCTGTGGTTCAGTTTCAATCCGAATCACCTGTTTGCACAGCCCTAGTTATCTTATTTTGGCTTAGTGGTTTCAAATGGTAAGTCTTTCCTCGGTGCGATTCGAGCAAATTTCATTTGTGTTTGTTAAGAGATAGCAGAACCACGCTGCCATTTATTTCTATGTCTGATTTCCAACGAGGGTATGCACTCCTTCATATTTCTATGATGTTTGATATTTGATTCCAATAATATTTTCAAAGCCTATTTCCATTCAAAAAGTTGACAAATTTCAGGATGTAAAAAATGATCATTAATATATATATGTAAAAAAAGGTATACCTTGTGGCTCCAAGGCCTATATTGTGGGGAAACACAGTGGCTTTATAGACATTATTGTGTCCATGAACAGCATCAATCCCATAAATCAAAGGAATACCAAGCCGGCTTGACAAAGAACCATTTTGGAACCAATTAATCATTCCAATCCAATCCTCTGGAGTAGCCTGAGGCTTTGGGACACTGCCTCCACCGCTCAATAGACTACCAATAGAGTAATTTTTCAGTATATCAGGAGTTGCAATGGCTCGATCCAATTGCACCATTTGGCCTATCTTTTCTGCTAGAGTCATTCTGCCCATAAGATCCCTTATTCGATTATTAAATGGCTGCTTTGGATCTTTATATTTCAAATAATTTGATTCTGCTTTTGTTGTTGCTATTGAGAAATAGCATAGCAGGATAAATCCCAGTAAGGGGATGGAGATCCTCGTCATCTTTGGCTTTGTAGCAAGCTCTCAGCTCTTTTGAAAATTCAATGGATACTGCAAAAATGTTTCAAGAAGGATCAAAATGAGGGATTTATGATGTAGTAGTGAAACCCAAAACATGTATTTAAAGAAAAGAAAACAAGATGTACAAGGAAAAGGCTCCAAAAATGATAGCAGAAACAGAAAGATATCAAGAAAAGAAGCTGTTGTTACTGAGAATCTGAATTTTGTGTGCATGGAAGGATAATAAACATGTAACTATATATATATATATATATATATTATATATATATATACACTGTATGAGAATGAGATGTAATGGATAAGTTCAAAGAGAGATGGATGAGTTGGACAAGAACAACCTTCTTTTTCTGCTGATTTTGTTAGTCTTATAGAGATATTTGGAGACCTGGTATTAAGTAGAATTCCTATTCTTCTTACCTAAAAAATCTACAAAGTTAGATAATATAAATATTAACATTCTTTCCTTCTTTATCAATTAACTCGATTTTTTTTTTTTTTTTTTTTTTTTTTTTTTTTTTTTTTTTTTTTTTTTTTTTTTTTTTTTTTGCATATATGTTATTCAAGTAAAACATCCTCAATATTTTGCAATTCATAAGAAAAAAAAAAAACTTGGAAAGGGGGGTGGAAAAAAAAAATGGTAATTAAGTAATTATCCTCAACAATAATGAGTGCGTAAGTTTCGCTGGTCGGATCCAATTAAGCTTGAATTAGGAGAAACAAAAGAAAATAAAAAGTAAGTGAAGAGAAATTTTTTTTTTTTTTTTTTTTTTTTTTTTTTTGCATATATGTTATTCAAGTAAAACTATCTCAATATTTGCAATTCTAAGAACTGAGGATGGTATTTAAGTAAAATTATCTCAACAATATGACTCTAAGTTTCGCTGGTCGATCTCAATTAGCTTGAATTTAGGAGAAAACAAAAGAAAATAAACAAGTAATGAAGAGAAATCTAATTAAACCCAATAAAGGGTAATATTGGCACATACCATAGTAGTGAAATCTATTGGAAACATTATTTATAATTTATAATAAATCTATTAGAAACTCAATTTATTCTAAACTTATGTGCAATATGTAATTTATCTAAAATTAACCCTTTATATAATTATCAAATGAATAAAAAGGCCCTATTTTTTTAAAAAAAAAGTAAAATAATAATTTTTAATATTTTTAATTGATAAAATTATTAATATTATTTTAATCTAATGAAAGCAAAAAAAAAAAAAAAGAATTTAATGTTGATAAAATATAGTTCTTTTTTAGGATGTTAATAAAATATAATTTAGTTGTAAGAGTTTTTTATCAATTTGATTAAAGTTATTAAAAATGAGTATTATCCCCTGCTGTATAATCTATAATCCTCTTTGTAGGTGTGTAATGACTTTTAATAAATAAATGAATTTCAATGCAGTATGAATTTTGTTACTTAAAAAGAATGACATATAAATCTAAGTTTTGCAACACAAATTATTTATCAATTATTATTTATTAATTTTAATATATTGAGACTTTTATTGTGGTTTATAATTTGTCAAAAAAAGGTTTTCATGCAACATAGAGCCTTGTAAGCCAATCAGGTCATAGGTTGATTGATCCTCACTTAAGTGTAATGAGTGAATTTTGAGTTCTAGTCCTCTCAATCACAATTGCTTTCGGCTCATTGTGTCTCAATGAATTACAAAAAAAAAAAAATAGAGCCTTGTAGCAGATAATATATCTTTGGAGAGAGAGGGGAAAACTGGAAAGCATAACAGCCAGTCATTTATCATTCAATTGGTCTGAAAATCATACATCCCAATGACATCCTTTGTTGAGAGCTTGACCCTTTGTAAAGCTCCTCATGAAGAGGGAAAAATAGCTTCACAGAGTTTTAACCATGAAAGTGCAAAACAGATAGTGTCTAATACAAGATAGCTCTCCCATTTGATGAACCTTACTTCTTGGTAGGCTTAGTTGCTAGACCAAACCCAAAGGGAAACAAAGGGTCATAATTTTTATCCCCCACATTCATAGGGAGCTGGTCTACTGTCTTGAACCAGGTCCGTGCAAGCTTGCCAGTGAATCCATAATCACCAAACAGCAAATCAGCAACACCTTGGCCTTCAGTTCCAGGAAGCCAAGCAGCTACAAGAGCATCTATATATGTGAGATAAGGCTGGATCACAACAGGGCGACCGGATATGACGACGACCACACATTTGACAGCTGCACACACATTTGTGATAGTACTCGGTCCGGGTTCAGGTATTGTCAGATTGAGGCTGTCACCATATGTTTCTGCATATGGTGGCTCCCCAACTACAACAATGGCATAGGAGAATTTATTTGACTTGACAAAGTTAAAATCTGGGTTTTCGTTGTAGACAACTTGGGTGCCAGCATCAACTGTGTTCTTCACTGCATCTAGAATTGTCGTACCTGTCAATGAGATGGCATTCCATTAAAACCATTGTCATAAACATAATGGCGAAAACTTACAACAGATGCTAGTATTTCGAAAGATATAAGACAAGCTATTGGGCTAGCAATCCAATGGTCTAGTGCCTATTTCATAGTGCAAAGGCTTTTGAGTTCAAGTTTTGGCAGTCTATTTCCCATTTAAGAATTTCCGGTGTACCAAAAGAAAGAAATGGAAGAAAAGCATTTGATGCACATCCCAGAATTCCAATTTTCCAAATTATTATTCATGCAGATAAAGGTGATGATTTCAGCACCAAAAATTTGAAAACTAATGAAGTCTTCCAAATATGAATTTAATTTGGAAATTATAGCGATCCCCTGGAAAGGTAATTTTAGAAATTAAACATACCAGTTGTGAGGTCATTGCCACCAAGACCCTGCCATGTGATTGTCCAGCCTCCACATTGATAGCCCAAATTTTCAGCATGGCTTCCAGCAACTAGTATCTTTGGTGCTTTCTTGGGAAGTGGCAATAATGGTTTATCAGCAGATTCACCATTCTTCAGTAGCACAAGCGATTTCCTTACAGCTTCTCTTGCTAATTCTCTATGTTCCTATTCAAGGTACATCATGTGATGAACAAAAGCTTTCACATTTGAAAAAGATAAGTGAAAAGGCTTTTACAGCAAGAAGATTAATCACCAAACCTGACTGCCAAGTTGGTTGACCAAACTGAGATCAGCAAGTGGGTTCTCGAACAGACCCATGGTAAATTTAACCCTCAAAATTCTTTTTACAGCATCATCAATCCTGCTCATTGGGATTATCTTGTTCTTCACCTGATAGCTCAGATCATCAATGAACTCTGTGAAGTTATACGGAACCATGACCTACAATACAAAGAGAGACACATTAGATATAAAAATTTAAAAGAAAGAAAACTCTCCTATGTCTCGGTTTGCAGGACAATAGACTCATTCCATTTCGATTCTTCAATTCTCTGCTAAACCATAGTCTACTGAACACCTAGACATTTTGAAATAATATTTCCTAGATCATGCAAAACTTTCACTGACCATGTCAATTCCGGCACCGACTCCAGCTTCAACAGAAAATGAATAATTAGCATGTGGAGGAGAGGTAATCCTGTCAATTCCTTGCCAATCTGATATTACAAACCCCTGAAATATACCCACAGAAACAAATTATGGGCAAGAAACAAGACTAAATTATTATATTCAAAACCAATAATTTGAGAAAGAAATGGATAATTTATTTAAATAAATGTCTGTACCCTGAATTTCATCTTGTTCTTCAGGAATCCAGTGACAAGATCCTGACTAGCATGCATCTTCTTTCCATTCCAGCTGGAGTAGGAGACCATGACTGTGGCAACTCCCTTGCTAATAGCATTGTAGTATGCCGGCATGTGGATATTGAGCAACCCTTGCAAATTTATCACAGTGTTGTTCTCATTGATGCCCCTGGTCGTGCCACCATCTCCAACATAGTGCTTTGCACAAGCTGCAACCTTAGTCCTAAGAAAATAGTCAACTAAGCAGGGGAAATTGCCAATCAAAAGCTCTCAAATATAATTATTTGATATTGCTAATGGAAAGTTTCAAATGTAAAATTATGTCCTCCATGAATTATAGTTGATTTTGGATTCTTGATTACAAAGCCTCTCTCCATTATTAATAAACCCATGAACAAAGAACGGATATAACCATAAAACCAAAACATATCATTTTCTTCATGATTAGTATCAACAGGAGAAAATTATCCAAATCCAAATGGTCTATTTCATCATACAAAATGATACCTCTGGAATTAGTTGAATCTAAATTGGTACTTAATGATTAGCAATATGATTAATGTAGTCCAATAAATGGATTTAACATGTTGGAATTTTTCACTCTGCATATTCTAGTGATTTCTTTCACAAAATCTTTTTCCTGAAATGATCTCTCTGGTATGAAAAGGCAAAGCAAACAGTTCTCTCCAGAAACAACTCTTATTGGACCACCATATTAAATTAGTAGAAAAACATTCAACATTTTAGACTGACGTCAGCAAGAGATCACATTAAGTTGGGCATGTGAAACGTCAATTCTCTAAATGTTATTTCTCTCTATGCCCTTAGAGACTGCATGGCCCACCACTGATGCCATCCACATGGCTTAGATTTTGAAATCATCCAAGAGTTACATGTCATGAAACTGAAAGTGATACATCATGCATGCAAGGGACTAGATGTTTTCCAAGCTGCGGTTAAGATAAAGGAAGTGCTAGATATTTGGCTTTTTTCACTTATTGTGTTTCATAATTGGAATATTAAAATGGTCCACTATTTGGCCTATCTCACAAAATGTCCAAGGAAAGTACTTCACATAGTGGTTAGAACTATTGGTGATATATCAAAAGGGGTTGAGCCTTTCTACTAATGTAAATTAGACAATGTTTGATATTTCTATACAATTACAAAGAATAGAATATAGAAATATTGAATTGTGGAAAGAAGTAATGTGAAATTTAGACATGTGACAACACAGGGAAAAATGCATAAAAGTTGAAGAAAAACTGGGTCAAATAAAAAAATGAAACAGTAAAGAAAAAACAAAAAGAATATATGAAACTACTTCAATTTTCAATTCCAGCACAATAAATTTAAAGTACAAACTGATTAGACATGTTTATTACAATAAATTTGTCTCATATTAACAAGGCAAATCCAAAGGCTGAAGCAGTTATTCATTAGCAGGGAACTTACTTTCCAGGAGTGACAAAAGGAATACCCTTTTTAGAATTTGCAGGGAGGTATCCTTGTAAACCAGGTATAATCTCAGTCATTGCTTGAACAATTCTATGATCTTCACTGTAGCTCTCATAACACCGTCCCCATCTAGGATCCCTGCAAACCTGTGAAAGCAGAAGAAGTCAAGAAGATAGCAAAAAATATATATTAGACAATTTGGTTCAGACTGTCTACAGTATAGAATAATCAATTTGTTTTCATATTACTTACTGCGATACATGGAGCGAAAACATAAGGGATTCCTGTAGCTCTAACTTCAAGAGCAGTTGCTTCTCCAATCCTTTTTACAAGATCAGGATCCCTGAGAGAAATAAAAATTGTTATGACTCCAATAATAAAATAATATGGCTTATTATTTTGGTAAAATAGATAGGGACAGTACAATAAAAGTCAAAAAATCATTAACTCAGATTGACATTGTTGTTTCATGAGAACTAACACAAGTTCATAAAATAAGATACACAATCCATTAAAGAAATTCATCGTCGCATATGTACATGCCTGGTCACTCCAAGACCCACATTGTGAGGAAATATTGTGGCTTTGTACACATTGTTGTGTCCATGAACTGCATCAATCCCATAAATCATAGGAATTCCAAGCCGAGTCGATAGAGCCCCCTTTTGAATATTATTCACTGCATTTACCCAAGTCTCAGCTGAAGCCTTTGGTGCTGGCACACTTCCTCCACCACTCAGCACACTCCCTACATAGAATAATCACAACTTCCATTACAATGCTACTCATCATTCAATATCACTACTTAAGCACAATGACTCAATAATTTAAAAGTATTTTATATGCATTAAACATTGGTCCAACTAAACAAGACAATATAAGATGTAAATGGGTAAGTGAAAAAAATGGGAATTACTTTAAAAAGAATTATTTATACCTATAAAATACTTTTTCATGACATCTGGAGCAGCAACACTGCGTTCAATCTGTACCATTTGCCCAATCTTTTCTTCGAGAGTCATTCTGCTCATTAAGTCTTTAATCCTAACACCTAATGGCTGTTTTGGATCTTTGTATTTTAGATGCTTTGTTTCACCAGCTGCATCTGCCAAGTAGCACAATAGGAGAAGTCCTAAAATGGGTATTAACAACTTCCCCATTCTAGTACCCAGATCGAGCTATTTACTTGAAATCTGGAAATCAACCACAGTCAGCAATTAAACTCAAATGTGAAAGCTAAAAAGCAACATTTTAGTCGAAATAGCTAAAATAAGCCTGTTAAAGTATCAAATCAATCCAGTAACTTAAAGATTTGAACTGAAAAGAAACAAAAAAGAGAAATAAAGAAGCAAGAATAGAACAGAGCAAGAAGATATCAAGTTCTTGCGAGGAAAAATCAATTACGTAAAAGCAAACTTAATCGGCATATCCAATAACATATAACTAGCATTATATTGTTTAGTTTATCAAGTTTCCAACGTTTATTTTTTCTTCTAAAGTATATCAAGTTTACGAACAAAAAAGAGGAAAAATAAAGATAACGTAGTTGTTTTCAACTTACATAGTGAAACCAACGCAGAAGCTAAAACTTCAAAGAGGGAAAGAAAAGGAGAGAGAGAGAGAAAAAAATATGCAGGAAGAGGATAAATTTGATTGTAGATTTTCAGAAGAAAGAATGTAGTACTGGTCTCCTCTGCTCCAGTTTATAGTTTCAAGGAGACAATGAGAGTGTGAAAGTGGAATGCAATAAGCTGATAATCCACTGCTTAATATAGACAAAGCTCATGATTTTTTTGACCCTGTGATTGATAATTAAATATTCTATTCAGTCCTCGCTATTATTTTATCATTTGCCCCAACCACAAAATTAGGAATTTTGTCTTTTTATTTATTTTTTTTTTTTTTTTAAACACCAAACTTCCTCTAGTACTTACTAGTGGGACCATTAGGCACCAACTTTAATAAAACTTTACTTCAAAAAAATATCATAAAATTAATAGAAAATCTTAAAATTAGAGGCTTAATAAAAAAAAAATTATCTCGATAGGTATAATCCCCTTTGAGGCCGAGGAGAGTAAATGAATAAAATGTATTCTCTGGAAATTGAATTTATATTCTTATTCTAAAAATTAAATTTATGTTCTCATCTTTACGAAATTGAAATCGCTTACCACTTTAATTAATAATTTATTAATATATTTTTTATTAATTATTGTTTCTAAGATCGGTTACACATAACGGAAAAGAGTTACAAGCAGTAAAAACAAATGTCATTAATTTATATATTCAAATTTAAATATTTACTATATATATTTTTTATTTTCAAATGAGTTTAATAAAGAGTATGTCATGCTTCAGTTTATAAGAACATGTACGTCTATTACAAGTAAATAATATTTTTATTGGTAATTAATTAATAATTAAAGCTAAATCACACCCAGAACCCAGCTGTCTTCCTTGGAAGATGATTCGTCTACGTCTTGCCTTTCGGGCAACTATCATCATCATGTTTTATGCATCATCATTTCTTGCTGATTCAGAAAAAAATTAAAATTATGAACCATTTATTTAAATTTTCAATTAAAAATATTATTTTTTCCGTTCCATAAAAAATAAATTTATTTTTAAGTTTGACATATATTACTATTTTTGTGATAGAGTAATATATTTATTGATAATGATATTAAATAGGAATAAAGCAGAAAATTGTAAATTATCTTTTAAAGAAGGAAATAAGATTATGTTTGGGCAAATGAAAAAGGAACACAAATTTTATTTTTTAGAATAAAGGGAATTGTCAAATGACCTTCTTCAGCAATAATGTTTAACGTAGATTTTAGTATTTATTTTATTATTTATAAATTATAGTATTTATATATATAATATTTATTATATTAGTGTTTATGGTTTGAGATAATGTATGACAAAACGTTACTCTCGTTTGATCAAATACTATACTTAAATTACTGACAATTATTAAAAAAATAACTATTATTAAAATAATTAATTTGTCGAGCAAAACTGAATATAGCTTAGAGTGCAACCATAATTATTTTTTTATTTTTTGAATATCTCATAAAAAAATACTAGATATGTTCTTATATTTAGACTGAAGTGATATTGAATTAAAAACTTTAACGTAGTAATTTTATGTTTTAAATTTTAAATTTGTAAGTATAATCCATTTGAATACAATTTATACCTATTGAAAATAGATATTGTTTAATATTATTATTTTAATTATTATTTGATAAAGATTATTATTCCCACCAAACTCCTCCACCAAGTTTGTTATTTCAATTTTTTTTTTATTTTAAAATGAAAATTGTATCAAAAATGTCAATATTCGACGAAAGAAAAAAAAAAAAAAAGGATAGTTGGAATTTCGTGAATAAGTTAGTCATTGCCGACTTTAACGGCACATCAAACGAAACAAATTCCTTATTAAGACAAAAAAGAAAGAAAAAACTGATTGCTTATTTTTGGGTCCACCTTTCAAAAATATTACCGTTGTGATAATAAAAGTTTTTGGTAACGGAAATCTAATTCCATCACCTTGTCTCACGTCCCATTACACTTTTTTTTTTTTTTTTTTTTATCTATTCCAATCACTTGTCTCACGATCCCATATACACTATAATTTTTCTTTTTTTTTTTTGATAGGGATTACCCACTTCACTAATTTTATTTTCCATTGATCTATGCAATTTAATTTCTGCTGCTTTGTCTTTTTTTTTCTATACTTTTATAAATATTAGATTCATATTATTTTTTTTTTTTTTTTTTTTGAGGGTACCCATTACACTAATTTTATTTCCATATGATTATGCAATTTAATTTCTGCTGCTTTGTCTTTTTTTTTTTTATACTTTTATAAAATATTTAGATTCATATCTATTTTAATGGTCCATAAACTTAATTAATATCTACTCGATTTTAAAGACAAAAGGGCTAGTCTGTAATTACCGCCTCTTTATAGTACTTAAACTTTTTATAATGTATAATACACTGTGTTATTGAATTGCTAGAAGACTAGCCTGGTGTAATGTTATCGATATTGATAAGTTTATGTATTATATGATAAATTATTCAAAAAGTTTAGAATAACACACATTGTTTATACCAAGTTTGAAGGTGAATTCAGCGTTGATCTATTATTTTACCATAAACTTTTCAAATTATAATTTCATCCTAAATTGATTTTTTAACCGCTTTGAACAATTAAAAAATTTTAAAAATTAATATTTAAAAACATATAATATTTCAATATATTTTGAATATATTAAATTTTTTTACATCTTAAATCGATTTGGGTGCACGAGGAGTCTATCGACTATAATTAGTGTTTGAATATATTAAATTTTTATAAAATTAACTTTGCCCATAAAAAGAATAGAATCCTATTGCAAAATTCCTATTACATCCTTATTGTGAAGCAATCAAATCAAACATAAGCTACAAAAATCTAGTTGGTAAGCTCAAATAATTAAAATATTCATTAAATATTATTTCTTCCATACATGAATATAAATCTTTTAACACAGTGAATAAAATAATTAATTTTCTTAGAATCACGTGATTTAATTAAATTATTATTTATATCACATTATTAATAATTTAATAATTGAAAAAATTTTATTAATCACTCCTTAATATTCTCAATTAATTTTAGACCGAAGGAGGTATTATCAGTTTATGCTAAAGTGCTAATTCCTGGAGTATGTTTCTCTTTATGCTTCATGCGGTATGTGTATTCACTGTAAAACCAAGTTAGCATGCGCTTCCGCTTCTTCCTTAAGCCAAGTCCAAAGCAAAATCTCTTCTGTTACTTCTCCACAACCTCCATTTCATCAGCTCCTCTAATCTCCCCGGCGCTACTCAAACAATGCAAATGCCTTCTCCAAGCAAATCTCATTCACCAACAAGCCTTAATCCAAGGCCTATTCACCCACTTCTCCATCAATCTCATCTCCACTTACTTGGCCCTCAATGCTCCCTCCTATTCGCTTTCGCTCCTTCAACGTCTTACCGCTTCTTCCTCAGCCGTCTACTGGTGGAACGCTCTCATCCGCCGTGCCGTCCGCCTTGGTTTTCTACATCAGTCCCTCTCTCTTTTCCGTAGAATGCTAAGGCTTGGATGGTCACCTGATCAATATACTTACCCTTTTGTTTTCAAGGCCTGTGGCGAGCTTCCTTCCTTTCGCCATGGCAGTTCTGTTCATGCTGTTGTTTGGTCTAATGGGTTTGAATCCAACGTTTTTGTTTGTAATGCAGTGGTTACTATGTATGGTAGGTGTGGCGCATTGGATCATGCGCGCCAAATGTTTGATGAAATGTATAAAAGTGAGATATTTGATTTGGTTTCCTGGAATTCAATGGTTGCTGCTTATGTGCAAAGTGGGGATACGAAGAGTGCACTTGGTTTGTTTCAAAAAATGTGGGAAATGGTTGATGTTGATATCCAGCTAGATGCTGTTAGTCTGGTCAATGTGCTGCCTGCTTTTGCTTCTATGGGTTCTTGGTGGTTTGGCAAGCAGGTGCATGGTTTTGCCGTAAGGAGTGGGTTATTTGAAGATGTGTTTGTGGGCAATTCATTGGTGGATATGTATGCAAAGTGTGGAATGATGCATGAAGCTTCCAAGGTTTTTGAGCGGATGCAGAAGAAGGATGTAGTTTCTTGGAACGCAATGGTTACTGGATATTCTCATATTGGTATGTTTGAGAATGCTCTAACTTTGTTTGAGCAGATGAGGGAGGAGAACATTGAGTTGGATGTTGTTTCTTGGAGTACGGTCATTGCAGGATATGCACAGAAAGGACTTGGGTATGAAGCATTGAATGTGTTTAGGCAAATGCAGTCTTGTCACTCGAAGCCAAATGAGGTTACCCTTGTGTCGCTTCTTTCTGGTTGCGCATCGGTTGGAGCATTGATTCATGGGAAGGAGACACATTGTTATACCATAAAATGCATTTTGAACTATGACAGGTGTGATCAGGATGAACTTTTGGTGATTAATGCCATAATTGACATGTACACAAAGTGCAAAAGTATAAGTGTGGCTCGTGCCATTTTTGATTCTGTTGCCCCAAAGGATAGGAATGTAGTGACTTGGACTGCTATGATTGGTGGATATGCCCAACATGGAGAAGCCAATGATTCCTTAGAACTCTTCTCCCAAATGTTAAAACAAGATAGATCAGTGAAGCCAAATGCTTTTACCATATCTTGTTCCTTGATGGCATGTGCTCGTTTGGCTGCATTAAGATCTGGTAGAGAAATACATGCCTATGTATTGCGAAATCAATATGATTCTGATGTACTTTATGTTGCCAATTGCCTAATAGATACGTATTCTAAATCTGGAGATATTGATGTTGCTAGAGTTGTGTTTGATAACATGAAGCATAAAAATGCTGTTTCTTGGACATCCCTAATAACAGGTTATGGCATGCATGGTCAAGGTGAAGAAGCAGTCAAGGTTTTCGAGGAGATGAGGAAAGAAGGCCTTCTTCCTGATGGAATAACATTCCTTGTCATGCTCTATGCTTGCAGCCATTCAGGAATGGTTGATGAAGGGATTAAATACTTCAGTTGCATGAGCAAGGAGTATGGAGTTATTCCTGGAGAGGAACACTATGCTTGTATGGTTGATCTATTGGGTCGTGCTGGACGCTTAGACAAAGCAATGAAGCTCATTGAGGGAATGCCTATGAAACCGGGGCAGGTAGTATGGGTAGCACTGCTTAGTGGTTGTAGGAAACATGAAAATGTGAAACTCGGGGAATTTGCGGCGAATAAATTGTTGGAGTTAGAATCAGAGAATGATGGGTCATATACATTGCTATCGAATATATATGCCAATGCCAGGCGTTGGAAAGATGTGACCCGGATAAGATCTTTGATGAAACATACAGGAATTAAGAAGAGACCTGGTTGCAGTTGGGTACAAGGGAAGAAAGGAACTGCAACATTCTTTGTTGGCGACAGGACTCATCCACAATCAGAACGAATGTATGCAATCCTCACAGAATTAATTCAACGAATTAAAGTTCTTGGATATGTTCCGGAGACGAGTTTTGCACTCCATGATGTGGATGATGAAGAGAAAGGTGATCTTCTTTTTGACCATAGTGAGAAGTTGGCTCTTGCCTATGGCATTTTAACATCAGCTCCAGGTGAACCTATCCGAATCACCAAGAATTTACGTGTTTGTGGTGATTGCCATACTGCCATTAGTTACATATCTATGATCATTCAACATGAAATTATATTAAGAGACTCCAGCCGCTTCCACCATTTCAAGAATGGATCCTGCTCCTGCAGGAACTATTGGTGATGCTGGAATGTTTGGATGTACAGTTGATTTCTCTTTCCTTCCTTTTCAGCAATGCAAAAGGGACAAGTATCCTTTTAACTAAATTTTCAAATCCACCATATGCTCAATTTTATTAATTGATAAAATGCACTTTCACCTATTGTATTAACCTCATCCTTTGGCCTCATTGCCTATTAGCAAGGGAAGACAATGCCCTTATATATGTCAAATCCTTCTCGCTTGAGAGAGGCTTTTCATGAGCTTCGACCGAATTGAATGAGAACCTGTTAGAGTACTGGATAGAGAATATATAGACCACTGTATATATATATATATATAGGGTTGCTTTGAGAATTCAATGGAAGTGTACGGATTCTTTTGCAGTTGGACTTATTTTATTTTCTTTCTGATTCACAGATGATTAACTTGAATCCTTTTTTTTTTTTTTTTTTTCCGAATTGAATGAGAACCTGCTTTAGAGCTACTGCGATAGGAATATATAGACCACCTGTATAGTATAGTATATATAGGGCTTGCTTTGAGAATTCAATGGAAGTGTTACGGTTCTTTTGCAGTTGGACTTATTTTCAATTTTCTTCTGATTTCACAGATGATTAACTTGAATCCTTTATTTTTTTTTTTTTTTTTAATAATCTACAAACCTTTCAAATTTTAAATATTCTATAAACCAGCGCGGTAAATATATTTTTTACAAAGCATGTTGCCAAAATTTGATAACATTCATAGTCAGGTCCTCTTTCTGCTTAAAGAAATCCTGTTATTGTTACGTAGTTCTACGTTTTTTGTGACATTCCCTAACCTCAAACCCTCGATAAATCATCCGTATTGAAAAGAATTATAACTTTGGTTTTCTAAAACACACAGATTTACCTGATAGAAACGAATTCAATTCAAAACATTAGTCTTATAACAAATCAAATTTCAGGGTATTTCTGATCCAATAACGTTGTATTGCTAATTTTTTTTTTTTTTTTTTTAATTATCACAAACCTTTCAAATTTTAAATATTCTATAACCAGGGGTAAATATATTTTACAAAGCATTGCCAAAATTTTGATACAATTCATATTCAGGTCCTCTTTCTGCTTAAAGAAGATCCTGTTTTTAGTAGTCTAGTTTTGTGAAATTCCTAACCTCAAACCTCGATAAATATCTATTGAAAAGAATATAACTTTGGTTTAAAACACACAATTTACCTGATAGAAAGAATTCAATTCAAAACATTAGTCTTATAACAAATCAAATTTCAGGGTATTTCTGAATCCCCAATAACGTTGTATTGTAATTACAGCAATTATAACAAGAATTTTATTCTAATATGATATACAGGTTAATTTAACAGCATAGGCCAGGTAAAAAAAAAAAAAAAAATTATTTCACATGGTATTATTGTATCTATATTGATGGTCAACTTACTCGGTGTGATTTGTGTACATATAAAATCAACAATTCTGCATCCATTATAAAGTCTGCTTTTAAGAATTCACCATTCACTTGCTGCTTATTTTCCATTTTAAGTACTTCTCCACACTGTCTAGCCCACATAGTTCCTTCACTATAGGCATGGTGGCAGGGACCTCCAAGTCGAATGTTGAACGGAGACCATCTTGGCAACCCCATAACTGAAGCTGTTTCCGGGCATCCTTAATAGCAGCTCTTGTTGCACAGTGAACTGATGCAGCTAGGAGCAATGGTGGCTCACCAGAGGCTGCAAAAAGCATATTTGATTCAACAACTTCATGAAACTACGCAGAACCTCCAACAAGAATTATACAGAAGCTTTTAAAAGCACAGGATTATATTTGTAGAGTAACTATAACTAGTACTGGAATTTGGGGTCAGATGTAATTGATTGACAGATGTTCAGCTTTCAGCAGTAACTTGTATCATTTTAAGCTTCAGTTTTAGTTCTTTTGTAGCGTGTAATAATTTATAATATCATAAATTTTCTTCATTGTGTTTTATCACATAAAATTTTAAAGATGTTCAAGAAAATTGCTTTTTTATTATTTCTTTTCCTGCCTTCTCTCAGAGTGGAAGAATTAAAGATTCTGCTCAGTAGGCTATACTTATGTTGCGAAAGAATAACTTTACAGCACAGTCATCAACTCATGGAACAGGAAAATCTCAGTTTCAGGCAGACATCACCCTTTCTTACTTGCTCATCCCGTTATTTATAGCAACAGTGATTCTTAATCTTATCTCTAACCAAGCTCAATAGTAGGTGTGCTACTACGCAGCATAAATTGGATAGCATAATCAATTTGGCAGCAAAGACAATATGTCTCAATTTTAATCAATTTTTTATCCTTGCTTTCTATAAACAATTAGTCCTCATTCTTCTGCTCCAACTAATCAGATAATTAATTTACCATTTGAATATTCATACTTCACATCCCTCCAAGAGACTTCAACAGAACATTGACCACTTGATTTATGATATATAAACAGTATACCTTTTGAGGAGAGAACACGCTTTTGGTGATGTCCACTGTTAAGAATTTCCACATTGAATTGTCTTGCAATGGTGTCTATTGTAGGGATCTTGTATGTCCATGTACCTTCCTCAATCACTAGTCCATCTGAGTTTGTAGTGTATTCTTCAAGCATGAAAAACCCAATTCCCTGGACAAAAGCTCCTTCAATCTGCAAAAACCAATTCCAACTCAATTAAAGAAGACCGTGAATATTGACCACCTACAATCTCTCTACTTATAAAGCTTCCAGGTAAGCAATAGATAGCATAATCTCTGTCCTTTAACTTGGTTATATATGTAGGAATGTAGCTAACCTGTCCCAGATCCACGGCAGGGTTAAGACTTTGTCCACAGTCATATATAATATCTGATCTCAAAATTGTTGTGTGTCCTGTAAGAAGGTCCACCTCCACCTGCATCACCAAAGCTTCATATTAAGCACTTAATACTTTTGACAACTGTTCAGTAGCTATCCACATCATGAGAATACAAAGCTTGATGTAAGCTTTAACATGCAGTGCAATGCCATTCAACTCTCAGCTTATATTGAGAAACAACACTACTTTGGTTTCAAGAAAAAAAAAGTAAAAAGAAAAAAAAAGGTAGAAGAAAGAAAGGTGTTGTAAAACAAACTTGCCTCACTCACTGCAGCACCATAATTCAAGTATTTCATGGAAGTAGAGTCAGGAACAAAAAAAGAACTCGCTGACAAGTGCACTGCTTCTTGATAGGCCTGCATGTTTTGTTGACTATAGCAGTTAGGTGGCAAAAATCTTCCATTTCTATAAAGAAGATCAAATTTGATAAAGAGTCTGCAGTTTGCAGAAACCATTCTTCTTGCAGAAGGCCCCACACAAAGAGAATAAGTAATTTAAAATCTAAAAATACCAGTGAAGGAAAGATAAAGTTGAGCGACCAAGTAGAAAAATAGAAAAAATAAAAAAGCACCATGGTTTTGATGATTTCTTCTAGTCATCCAAGACTTAAGTTCTAAAAGGGGCTAAGAGGAACCAAGGCAATGTTCAGAAAATGCAAATAGGTACCTGGCGAATAAGCGTCTCCCATCTTATAGAACCCATTTGCACCTGCAACCTATCTTTTAGAGGAGTTAGTCTGTCAACCAAAACTTTACAGCACATTCTAACTGCTTCACAGCTGGACTCAGATGTAGTGCTCCCAGAGGTAAACCCACCTTGAATTAAACTCAAAGTATCAGACTGTACAACTCGTACTTTATCAAAGAGGTCTCCTGCTCCGGCACATTTGATTGAACCAAGAGCAAATGCAACCATCTGTTTTACTTTTGTCCAGAGCCCCTGGCCCAGCTCTATTCCCCCAACTTCAACAGCAACAGATCCATCACTTAAAATGCTTACTTTTCCTGGAGTTGGCCTCAGCATCACTTCATGCACAATAGGTATTCGAGAAACACCTCTTTTCCTCCACAAATTACAGCTGTTAAACTCTTTTACCATTTCAGTCCTTTGGAAAAAGCTAGAAGTTGTCGCTACCTTATCCCAAATTGAAATTAAAGTGTACTCCAAAGGTTCTCCAGCTCCAATATCATAGAATAACTTTAAGCTATCATAAGCGTGGAGATTTATGGCTCTCACGGAATCTGCATCCATGGAGAGAGATGATGCTACATGTTCAATTACAGCTTCCGCAATATATGATCCTTGCACCTCTCCAGGGCCCCGCATTGCTGATCTACTTGGAAGGTTTGTTTTGCATACTTTTATATCAAAAGATAAAGCACCCCAGTCATACTTTTTCAATGCGCCCATAATATTATGTGGCACCACTGGACTTATATCTGGTGCTATGCCAGCATCAACCAATATATCAAGCTGTAAGGCTGTAATTTTCCCATTAGATTTGAATCCCACATTATAAGTTATTTTCATGGGATGCCTTCCTCCGGCCATTATCATATCGGTCTTGCGACTGAGATACATCCTGACAGGGCGCTGTAACTTGAATGCTGCAAGTGCACAAGCTGTTGCAACCTAAGAAGTGCATCCCATTGTAAGAACTTGAACCAACAGTTAAGAGATCGATGGAACTAGTAAATCCCCAATTAAATAATGCAGAGAGGAGGCATCAATATTAATAGAAACATCAATGATATGGAGACAGAGTAATTAACGGTATTAAAAATGATGCTTTTCAGAAGATATGTATAACATTGAATCATCCATTCTGCATATAATGCCTCATATTTGATTAGGCATTTTTCCCGACCATATGATACGTAAAAGCAAAGAGATCAAATTTGATGCTTGTTTCTTCTGGGAGGAGGTTACCATAATAACCAAGTTTACATTCCATAAATAAAAAAATTATTTTCCCTTTTCTTTTTTCCTTTTTGCTTCATTTTCTTTTACAGATGGGGAAAGGAACAAAAAGGCCTTTGCATGATTAGATATACAAGTTCCCACCATGGAATTTAATCTTGATTCTCAAATGCTGCTAAAAGATTCAAACTCGGTTACCCTATATTTTTTTCCCCTAAAAAAGCCATAACAATGTGAGAACATTATTGAAATATAGCAGAATCCTGTGTTTGCCGACACCAATATGCACATGATACAAGATTAGAAGTCTACAAAAAATTTGCTCCCTGAGAAAGATAGAAGTTTATGCAACAGTGGAGCCAATGTTTATGCCCATTTTAACTGAAAGCACAGGCGTCAACAATGTATTTTCTTTAATCACCAGTTTAGCCCCATGATAGCATTTATTTAGATTTATAACCTTTGCAGACCCTAAACCTAATGAAATGGATCACCAGGACTAAGTGAAACAGCAGCTTACTTAAATGAGATCTGCTTGACAAGTAGGCTAATAGATTTGTGTGTACATAGACACATATTAATAGAATCATATACAGTTTCGGTTCAAGACTAAGAGCAACCATGGTCTTTTATCATGCATGTCAACTTTAAAGTTAGCTGAAACAATCTGAAAACAGCTAAACTATTGTCTCTAGAGCAATCATTTGATCTATCAAAGAAAACTCAAAATCAACTGTGTAGAATTATAAATATTTAACCTAAGATGGTAGATTTGGTTTGTACTAATAAACAAAAAGATTGTGGTCAATTCCCACAGTTAGATATACTTATATAGATGTTTTGTGAGGGATATTTTCAATCAATGCAATTCCACTATTGTGAATTTCATCTAAAGTGATTATATGTCTCTTTCTAATAGAGAAGTAATTAGAATACATAACTACAGAGTTTGTAAAAGAAAGATGCTCACAGGCATGGCTTTTATGGCCTTTCCGCCAAAGCCTCCTCCAACCCTTCTTGCAATTACTCGCACATTATGTTCAGGAACCCCAAGACATCTTGCAATCACAGCATGTCCATACTCAGGGCATTGAATTGAACTGTAAACCATTATGCATTTGTCTTCATCAGGGATGGCAAGAGCAGTTTGATTCTCCATATAGAAATAATATTGGGACCCAAGTTTTATCTGAATGTCATAATTCAGCAGAAAGTTGGTTGTGAGTAGCTAGCACAAATCCTAAAGTTGAAAGATGATTCTCAAAAGATAAACAAGTCTAATTTTAAGGCTTGTACTTCTACTTCAAAAGGAGGCATATTTTTATTTCCTTTTTGGAGGGAAATACTCTATCAGTCCACAAATATAAGTCTTTTAACGTTTTTGCACGGTAATTAAGAAAACAATTAATTCCCCTAAATTATAAGAAAAAGTTTATCAATTTGACTAAATCACCTTTTATCTCACATCATTAATTATTAATGTGTTTAATATATACAAGTGTAAAATTGAAAAAAATTCATTAATTACTCCTTAATATTCTCAGAATACAACTTATACTTGTGGACAAAAAAACTACTCTAAAACTACTTATATTTGTGGACAGAAGGAGTAAGAAAAAAGAGGGTTGAGAAAGTGAAGAATACCTCAGCAGAGAGTATCTTGTGATCAGCTTCAGCCATTCCTTTTGATATATTGCCAACTTGTTTGGGGTAGACAAAAGGAGGGACTTCAAAAAGGCTACATCTTTCAACAGCCTCTTCTACAGTTAAAATGGGAGGTTCTAGATTTTCCAGGTCATAATCAACCACTGCAACATTTGATGCTATATCTGCATGTTTTTGTGTATCTGAAAGCTATGAAAATTATTTGGTCAGCTAAATCACGCAAAATAGCTGCCACGACTTAATCAAATGCATATTTACGTGCTTTCAAAAATAAACCATCTCAAAGGATGAAATTAATAATTTACAACCCGAAGTTGAGGTAGATTTTGACAAACATGAATGATGGAGAAAGAAAGTACCACAAGAGCAAGACGTTGTCCAGAAGATCGAGTAAACTCATCAGCAAACAAAGGTTCAGTACCAAATATGGTCTTAGAACCTATATTCTCCCCATTATTTGGTATGTCTTTGAAAGAAATAAGTGTATTGACTCCATCAGGAAGCAATTTAGGATTGAATTCTATACTCTTTACCCTTGCAAAAGGCTTTTTGCTATAGATGAAGGCTCCATATAGACAATTTTTAGGAGAGGGAATGTCATCCACAAAAACAGCCTCACCTGCATAATTTGTTAGATAAGTAAGATAGTCGTCTGCTTATTGGCAGCTCTCAGCTATGAGTCAAAGAAGCAATTTCAAAGCAATGTAGATCAAACCAGCACAAAATCATGGCAAGAGAAACAGACTGGTGCCAGTCATCAACGTGACAAAGTGGACAGCTGGGGATTTGGGAATAATTCTATTCATTCATCTCATTATTTACTTTTTGGGAAAGGGCCAACAAAATGAAAATTATCATGAAATACAAAGTTTGCTTGCATCTAAAGGAGAAAATGAAATCATAATATCATGATTAAATGACACGGATCATTAAACTTAAAGGTTCTTTTATATTTGATCACAGCACAAGATGTGATGCAAATGAGTTACAGAGGTTTTTTCTTCTTTTTTTTTTTTTTTCTTTTTTTTCACTTGATCACGTTTGAGATTTTCCAGCAACAATCTACCGGAAATGCTAAATGGACAGCCCCCTCACTTATATAATTGGCAAATACGTGGGGCTCATGCACGATAAAAAATACACTTTGCGACTTGAAGTCAATTTAAATGGGTGAGCTGACTCCTATCAAAAAAAAAAAAAAAAAAGGAGTCAGATCAAGTGGTTAATGTACTTCTACCCAACAAATTTCAACACAAAGCTTATGACCTGCACTAGCGACAGTTTGTTTTATAGCGATAAGTAAAGATGTCGTGCTCGCATATTGGCAAGCTCTTCAGGCTATTGAGTGCAAAGAGAGCAATTTCGAAAGCAAATGTTGATCCGAACACCAGATCAAACTCATCGGGCCAAGAGAGAAACAGACTTGACTTCTCTCTTTGTGGGTGCCAGTTCCATGATATCAAACTGTAGACAAAAGGTTTAAACTGGGAGAAACAAGATTTTAATTTAGAAGAGTTTTTATAGAATGTTACTGGACAGTTAGTTTTTTCTTGTTCGTGAACTCTCTCATTTATTTACTTTTTTGTGTGACCAAGGTGGTACCTAACAAATGAAAATGATTTATCAATTGAAATTAATTGCAAAGTTTGGAACGTTGAATCCTGTAAAGGAGAAATTGTAACATCAATACATTTCCATGATTAAAAATGACTAACGGATCGATTAAACACTCTAGCGATTTCCTATTTAGATATATCTCTGATCATTCACAGTTCTATCTAAATGATGTGATGCGAAGAGGATTGAGTTTACAGACGGTTTTTCTCTTCTTTTTTTCTTTCTTTTTCTTTTTTTGTCACTATTTTTGATGTCATGTGTTTTGAGTATTTTCGTTTATCAGGCCAACAATCTACCGGAAATGCGTAAATGAGACAGCCCTACTTACTATACTTGGCAAATACGTGGATGCAGCGGTCATGCCCCGTTAACAACCAATACACTTTGCGACTTGAGATAGTCTCACACTTTAATGGGTTGAGCTGACTACTATCAAAAAACAAAAAAAGAATGGTGAGCTGCCAGCTTCATGTCAGTACTTTGGTTTATAGTGTGTTGTGGTAGTGAACAACATTATAAAATTTGTGATAAGACAAAGAAAAAAAATAGAATAGAACAAAGCAGTTTTAGTTGAAAGAATTCAATTTGATATTTGCTGATCATCTAATTGACAAATTCAAGCTACACACTTTAAGTAAGCCTCACGAATTCTCCAATTCATTCTCAGATAGCATCGATACGCACATAACAAAGCCTCAACTTGATGCAATCAGGTTGGATAAAATCCAGTCGGGACATCGTACCCAGAAAGAAAAAAAAAAAAAAAAAAAAAAAAGAGTTTAGTGAATCAATTGATATTTTGTGATCAAATTAGAAACAAGCACAAAATTTAGTAACCTCCAATCTCATTCATCTGATACATCAAGAACATAAACCTCAATATGATCAGTTAAAATCCCAGTCGGACATGCTACCAGAAACAGTATAGTGCATAGGAGAGATAACTGTTAATTTTACGAAGCAACCCTTGACTGCAATATAATGTACAAATGATCATGTAATATATGATGATAAAATGTATACAAACCAGAAGATTGAAGAGCAGCTCCTGATTTTGTAACTGGCTTACCAATAGGATGGTATTGTTTATTTATTTGAATCACCTGCTTTGATGATGATATCAAAGGAGGGAAGTTTGTGGGGTCCAGGGTATCATAATTATGTTTCAATTTTACATCCTTGGATATTGAAGTTGTAAAATATTCGCCCAACCAATCATTTCGAAGAGTTTCTGTTAAGGGGCTAAGAAACTTAAAAAGAAAACCAACAGCCAAGCTTGACCTATAAGCAGGATTTCTAGTCCCATCTTCAGGTACCACTGCTTTAACTAATTTAACAGCTCCATATATAACATCGACGGTCAACAATTTTCCAGTTAAAAATTCCTCAACTTTCCTTGCTCTAATTGAATGTTTGGTTCCAAGAGCACCAAAAGCCAACTGACAGTTTCTTAGCACAATTCCCCCAGATAAATTTGAGTAGGAAACTTCAGCCAAGAAAGCAGCATTCAGATAGGACAGAGCATTTCCGAGGGGCCGCAGTGCAGCTCGAAAGGTTTCAAATAATAATTTGCTATCTCTTTCAGGAGTTGTGGTCTTGATTGATTCATAATTTGGGATTTTAACAGTCAAGAGTACATTTTTGGGATCCAAAGGAGGCCTTTCCAAAAACTCCTCCAAGGTAAGCTTTTCATGCATGGCACCAGCTGTTAAATTAACAAATGAACCAGCTGCAAGAAGTATCGTAGCAATATCTGAAGGAAAACATTTCCTTTGTGCCATCACCAGATTTCCCCCAATACTGCCGGTATTTCTTACAGATTTGGTAGCAATTTTCTCCATGTGGGCTGCTACGTTTTTGAACACCATGTTACTTTCTGAGAGAAATCCATCCTTCCTTTCTTCCCTCAGAGCTTCAATAGCTTTAGAAATGGTCACTGCAGCCCCAATTTCAATCCCAGACTCATCCCTCCTAATAATTGAAAGCTCAGGAATATACCTGACATCAATGTATTTATCATAGCGTTCTATTTCCTTATAGTAACCAATACCTGTATTACCAACCACTAGCTTCATTCGGACTCCATTGTTGGCATCACTTGTTTTTAGTAAGCTCTGAAGTTCCTCAAAGCTAGAAGGTTGGTACCAAGAAAATCTTTTAGACTCCAAATGTAAGGAAGACTTGACTTCCCTCATTAAAAATTCAGGGAAAGTACAAATCTGATTATTACGATCATAGAAAGGTAATGTGTTTACCTTTTCTTCTTGAGTCTCCTCCTTCTTCCAAAATGAGTTAAATCCCAAATCCTCTATATCAACGTCAGCTGCAAAACTTTTGCATGCATCAGCAATTGGTCGATATCCGGTACAACGACAAAGATTTCCTGCAATGGCTTTTTCAGCTTCAGTGGCGGTCAGTTTGGAGAATCCTGGAGGGGGTTCTGGTCGATCAGTCTTTTCAGCATTAAGAAGTGCTCCAAAGAGTGAAACGCACATTCCAGGAGTACAAAAGCCACATTGGGAAGCATGGAATCCAGTAAACCTTTCATGAATTGAGTGGAATCCATCTTTGCTATTCCCCAGGCCTTCAGTAGTGGTAATTGAACATCCATTTATACTGCAAAGAAGTGTCAGACACGAGCTTACTGTAAAATCCTCAACTTGGTCAAGCACTGGATCATACTTTGAGACCAAAACAATACAAGCACCACAACCACCTACAATCATGAATCCGAACATATTCTGAGAAACAACTTTAGTCCACATGAAATGCACAAAAAAGGAAAAGACCGAGAAAATTGCTAAAAATAGCTTTTTAAGTATCACGACAAAAGAAAACTTTAAGGCTAAAGATAGATGAACAACAGCCTAAGAAACTGCAATGAATTTTTAACCAATTAGAAACCTTTCCTTTCATTTCCAAAATAATTATCGTAAAGCTTTTATCTCAGCAGGCTAAAAAAATATATTCAATTTTCAAGATTTTATTGCACTATGAGCTGAGAATTCCAGGGGAAAAAAAAAGGTTCCATTCATCCCTTTGTTTTCTCAGAAAAGAAACATAAACACTATTCTGCAAGCAATCACCCCATTATTAAGACAAAAATGAACAGAAAATAAGCAATCTAAATTTCAACTAGTATCCAAACAACCCATTATCCTCAGCAGAGAAAGAGTCAACGCATTTCCAGAATCTTCTCGACAATATTTATATCTCCCACCAAAGTATATCAACATTCCATAAAGAATCAATTCATCAAACACTAAAAGTACATCACACGAAATTAGTAATTACAGCAAACACAGGCAAAAGTCAGTCAAGAACTACTCAAGAAAAAAAAAAGTTTAAAAAAAAACTGAAGTTGCTCACTAACCAATCCAAGTAAAAGCAACCCAGTTCAATATCCAATTAGTTTTCCTCAATGAAATAATTCCAACTTCAAAGTTTCTAAAAATACACATTATATCTTAGATATAGAACAAGAAAGATAGTACCTTCACCACAACTGAGCTTGACACTCTTGAAAGAAGTATCGGAACGCAAGAATTCAAGCAGAGTAGTAGAAGGGTCAATACTTGATAGCTCAAACCTCTGTCCATTAACAGCAAAAACCAGATTCTTGCTTCCTGTTGCTGCTGTTCTATCTTCTTCCATTTCAATGAGCGATGAGTCACGAAGAAACCGATGATATATGATAACGATAGCCACATTCCGTTTAAAGTTGAAAGCAATGGATAAACCGCACAAAGACAAAATTATGTCGCAATCGAAGGAATATTTAATTTTTCTTTAGAATCTTTTTATAGTAACAATAAATAATAATATCGTCATGAACTGGTTTAAGGGAATCTGTTGTGGACATTTATTGATGATGAACGAAAGAGACAAAAGAAGTGAAAACACCGTTTTCTAATTTCAGCAGGAGTATGACTCGCGATGAGCATGCTCTTGCCTGGTTTGATTTGGTTCCCAAATAATTGAATTCTAAATGAAAAAACCGATAATTGCCCAACTTTTCTTTTTTTTGTTAAGCACACGGACCGACTAATCTAAATTAGCATCTAATAGGCTTGCAAATGAGAAAAAGTGCACCCTCCCGAGTATTTAAAAGACTCCAGACTCAGAATTCGAATTCGAAATCCATAATATATTCTTTTCCTCCCATGTCACGCCTCAAAAGTAAAATTGCACAACTTTGGTATGAAATAACTTTTGTTATAGCGGAGCAAAATGCTTAAAATGTCCTCAATAGATTCAATGTGGCGAATTTTTCCTGCAATATACATGGAAGACATTTTAGATATTTTTTCCAAAAACAAATTATAGAATTTTGAGGATTAAAAGTGAAGAAAGGGTAAAAGTCTAACAACATAAATTAAGAAAAAAAAAAAAGAAAAAGAAAAGCAAAAAGAGATAAAAGGTCAAATCTTGTTAAATTGAGATTATAGTTATAATATATAAAGAAATACAATCTAATTAGGAAATTATTTCCTTCTTGTATAAAAAAAATGTAACAAGTATATCCAATATTAGGCCCAAAGCCCATATAATGTCCATCACTCTTAAAGTTTGATCAATATTCAAATTGGAATAAATACATCAATTTTTGCCAAAGAACACATAATAGAAGCAATAATTAGAATATGTAATTTAATTCCTGAACTTTTATAAAATAAATTTTATGGTCTTGAATTTTGAAAATAATTTTGTGGCTTTTGAACTTATTTTCTAATCTTGTGGCTTTGAACTTCACTTTTTTTTTTTTTTTTTACTTATTTTCTTAAATCTTGTGGCTTTGAACGAACTTCTCTTTTTTTTTTTTTTTTTCAATCTACGAGGTATAACATTATTATAGTACATGGATTTCAAGAAGCTACAATATTAAAAATTGAAGTTAAAATGTTACAATTTTTTTTATTTAAAGGTTAAATTATATATTTGGCCAAGTAATAATTAAACATAAATAATAATAAAAGAATTATTGACTCTCAACGGGTTACTCAAACTCTAATTTTCTTATATAAAAAATGTAACTTAATCTAATTCAAACACAAAATTATAAATTACACTTAATCAATCAATATATACAAAGAATAATGACATCAAACCAAATCATTAAAGCCAACAAAAAATAACTTATATCCATAAAAATTCTTAATTTTTTTTATTATAAAAAAATTATAATTTAACCATTTTCAAGAAATCTAAACGTAAAAATAAAAAAAAATTATTTTTTTACATGAGAAGCTCAATGGACAGCAGAGGGCAGCTCTCCCCTTCGAATAACATTCACCAAATTAGTGATGATTTTTGTGTTGGAGATGACTCAAACTCGAGACCAATCATACTAGATCTGATTCGCTAAAATTAAATAGAAATAAGACCCAATGAAATTAATGTAATGTGGAGGTAAATGTTTTACATTTCTTTGTTTAGATTTTTTTTAATGTGATTTTGAAGGTATTTAGGCATGATTACATATTAACTTAATCGGTATACGATAATAATGGAACACATTATAATTTTGAGCATTAAATTATAATTTATGGAAGAGTTATTATTGGTTTTTTCCTAAAAATTTTTAAAGATATCAGATAGTATTATAATGGGATGGGATGGTGATTTGGTGACGAGAAAGTGTGAGAAAATGGGAGAGAATGAAAGAAAATGGAGAATCTAAAGACATTAATTTAGAAGAATCATACGAGCTAAAATTACAAAATTTACTATCATGGCGTTTTCTTTCCTTTTCCAATTATATATATATATATATTTCATGAATGAAATGTTATCTCAGACCAAAATGTATAATAGATAAAAACAGCATCCCCATGAGTGAAGAAATTTACAGCTTTAACCCATAAGAGAAGAAGAAGAAGAAGAAGAAAAACAGAAGAAGAACAATGAAAGAAGAAGAAGCACAATCCAAGTTTATTAAGATGTGTTGTGCTTGACTACTAAAATCCATGGTACCTTATTATTAAGTAGAGCTTGATAACTATCAGTTGCCTTCCATTTTCCACTGTAAGTACTTAAGTAGAGCTTGATAACTATCAGTTGCCTTCCATTTTCCACTGTAAGTACCTCTCCACAATGTCCAACCCACAAAGCTCCTTCACAGTAGGCATGGTGGCAGGGACATCCACCTGAAATGTCGAGCGCGAACTGTCTAGGCAACCCCATGAATCAAGCTGTTTCCGAGCTTCGCTTATAGCTGCTCTTGTAGCACAGTGAACTGAGGCTGCTAGGAGCAGTGGTGGCTCACCAGAAGCTGCATAAAGTCCAGGCATATATATTAACAAATAGAGAGGACAAAAGTTCTTTTCCATGGAGAGAAAGTTTGACTATCTATTAATTTACAACCAATGTGATAGATGCGGTGCAAGTGCAAACTTGCAGAAGAGAGCCTTTTATAGGCAACACAATTATAAGGAAAATTTTCAAGTCTTGCATGCCATCTTTTGAAATTTAAGCATGGAAATCATCTACCTTTTGAAGAGAGAACACGGTTTTGATGATGCCCACTGTTAATTATCTCTACATTGAACTGCTTTGGTATGGTGTCTATTGTAGGTATCTTGTACGTCCATGTCCCTTTGGCATCTACTAATCCATCTGAGTTTGTTGTGTGTTCTTCAAGCATGAAAAATCCAATTCCTTGGACAAAAGCTCCTTCAATCTGTAAACATAATGGAAGTTGGAAAGCTTCAGACATGAGAATTTGACTAATGACTTATAAAGATCAATATATATCCAGCTAACCTGTCCTAAATCCACAGCAGGGTTGAGACTTTGTCCACAATCATATAAAATATCAGATCTCAAAATTGTTGTATGCCCTGTCAGAAGATCTACTTCTACCTGTGTCACCATGATCATATATCAAGTGCAAAATAATTTAGCTTTTGATAATTGTAACAATAATAGAGTCAATCACATCATCCTGATACAATTTTGAACATGAAGATCTCCCAGAATCTAGCTTATATCAAGAATCAGTAGAACTGCTACAGTTTCATGTATTAAAGGAAGATGAAGACAATGGTTTCGTGACACTTACCTCACTTGCTGCGGCACCGTAGTTTAAGTATTCCATGGAAGCAGACTCAGGGACAAAGTAAGAATTTGCTGACAAGTGCACAGCTTCCAAATATGCCTGCATTTTTATTAAAAGGATTAACCTCTCTCAAATGGACATCATGCAAATGTCATATAATTTTACAAATTCAATAATGCGAAGGAGAGGTAAGGTCAAGTAACAATATTTTGATAAAGTATGCATCGGATGATTTCTTCAAGTGATCTAGACTTTAGTCCAAAAGCGGTAAAGCAACAAATGAAGATGTTAAGCGAGATGTTCTAGAAATGCAGAATTCTACCTGACTGATAAGTTTCTCCCATTTTATAGAATCCATTTGCGCCAGCAACCTTTCCTTCACAGCCATCAGTCTCTCAACCAGAACATTACAGCAAAGTCTAACTGCTTCACAGCTCGACTCAGATGTAGTGCTCCCAGCAGTCATCCCCCCTTGAGTTAAACTCAAGGTATCAGATTGTATGACTCGAACTTTATCCAAGAGGTCTCCTGCTCCATCACATTTGATGGAACTAAGAGCAAAAGCAACCATCTGTTTTACCTTTGTCCAGAGGCCCTGGCCAATTTCAAGTCCTCCAACTTCAACCACAATAGACCCATCGTTTAGAATGCTCACTTTTCCAGCTGTTGGTCTTGTTCCGACTTCATACACTACAGGTATTCGAGAAATACCTCTTTTCTTCCACACATTAGACCTATTAAACTCTTTTATCAGCTCAGTCCTTTGTTCAAAGCTCGAACTTGTGGCTAACTTATTCCATATTGAAGTTAAAGTATATTCTAGAGGTTCTCCTGCGCTAAGATCATAGTATAACTTAAGGGTATTATACGTATGGAGATTTATGGCTCTAACAGAATCTGAACTGATAAAAAGAAAAGCCGCTACATTTTCAATTATAGCTTCTGCGATATATGATCCTTGCACGTCTCCAGGGGCTCGCATTGCTGATTTACTTACAACATTTGTTCGTCTCCAGGGGCTCGCATTGCTGATTTACTTACAACATTTGTTTTGCATACCTTTATATCAAAAGATAAAGCTCCCCAATCATACTTTTTAAGTGCACTCACGATGGCTTTTGGCATCACTGGACTCACATCGATAGATATGCCAGCATTGATTAATATATCAAGTTTTAAGGCAGTAATTTTTCCATTGGACTTGAATCCTACACTGTAAGTTATTTTCATAGGATGCCTTCCTCCTACCATTATCATATCAGTGTGGCGATTGAGATATACCCTCACAGGACGTTGTAACTTGTGTGCTGCAAGTGCACAAGCTGTAGCAACCTAAAACATTACATCCCATTGTAAGTATTTGCAACATGAATTTAAACAAATAGGCATGGAACGAGCACATCACTCATTAAATAATGCAAAGGACAGATACTAAAAGAAAAATAAAGTTATGGATCAGAAGGTCCCCAAAACTAAATAGAATTTTTCTTCACAGAATTGATTTAATCATTTTACTTGTCATGCCTTTAATTTCCCTACTCGACCTGATCATTGGCCCAACTGCTAATTTTCACTGGTTCTGGGTTTTATAGTAAAATCTTTAGTAACGTGTATTTTTGTAATAAAATTTTTGGTTTTTAGTACATAAATATGCTATAAAAATTGTGTGCATTAAAAAATATTAAAAAATTGGAAATACTCAAGGAAATTATGTTACAAGGTTATTAATGATTTACATAAAAATATTCCAAAACAAACACACAAGAGAGTTATATTACATAAAAATATTCCAAAACAAACACACAAGAGAGTTATATATGCGTGTGTGTGTGTGATTTCTACCTTTTTTTTTCTCTCCCTTGTTTCCCTGGAATAAGAGGAGGGTAGAAGAGGGGATGAAAAATATCCTACCTTATGTGAATGTGATATTTGTTGCCAGCAAAAAGGATGCAAGCAGCAACTCCACCAATTTTGGTGTACAGTTGGTTATGTATTTCTAATGGTAAAGTAAGATTGTTGAGATCATATATGTATTACAGAAGGATATCTACACGCATCGGCCTTTTAAGGCCTTTCCACCAAACCTCCTCCAACCCTCCTCTGTAAGCACACGCACATTGTGCTCAGGGAACACCGCAGACATTTTGCGATTACAGTGTGTGCGATTATCTCGGGGGCTTGATTAGAACTGGAAACCACCATGCCAATGTGATCGTTCAATCAGCGGGACAAGCAAGCAGCAGTCTTGATGTCCGATATAGAAGTTATTGTTGACCAATTGTTATCTGGATGTCAATAATTCAGTAGTTGAGAGTTGGCAGTGAGCAGCGAATTCCAAAACTGAAAGATAACTTACTAGAAGAAACGTATTGGAGCCTTTCCAGGCTTGGGTTTGGGAGAGAAAAATCCTCAGCCAAAAAATACCTCGGCAGATAGAATCTTGTTATCTGCTTCAGCCATTCCCTTAGATACATCACCAATTTGTTTGGGGTAGATAATTGGCGGCACCTCAAAAATGCTAGATCTCTCAATAGCCTCTTCTACAGTCAAAATGGGTGGCTGTAGATTTTCCAGGTCATAATCTACCACAGCGAGCTTCGATGCTATATCTGCATTTCTTTGTGTATCTGCAAGCTAAGAAAATCATTTGACAGACTAGATTAGGCAAAAACAGTTTTCATAGTGCATACAAAAATGATACTGCAATCAACAGAAATGAGGCGAATGTTGCTACACAAGTGATGGCTGAAAAACATACCACGAATGCCAGAGGCTCTCCAGCATACTGAGTAAGCTCCTCAGCAAACAATGGTTCAGGACCAAATGCAAAGAGACTGCCAATATTTTGCCCACCTTTTGGAATGTCTTTGAAAGAAATGACTGCAGTGACTCCATCTGGAAGGACTGCAGTGACTCCATCTGGAAGTGATTCTGAATTGAACTTTATACTCTTTACCTTTGCAAAAGGCTTTGTGCTATAAATGAATGCTCCATGTAGACAATTTCTAGGAGAGGGAATGTCATCCACATATACAGCCTCACCTACAGAAGAAGTTAAACAAGTCAGTTTACTTTCGAAGGGGACAATTTGGAAAGAATCCAAATTTACTTATGAGGCATAATTTTCAATAATGTAAACCTCAATAAGAAAATTTTTGGACCTGTATCAAGTCAATGGAGGTAAAACAAATGTAAATTTCATATGGAAGGAAACTCAATGGTCAAACTGTACTATGAAAATGAGAATACTAACCAGAAGCTTGAAGAAAAGCTCCAGTTTTTGCAATCGGCTTCCCAACAGGATCATACTGCTTGTTTAATTGGATCACCTGCTTGGATGATAACAGCAAAGAGGGGGATTTAACATGATCCAGCTTATCATGGTTCTCCTTTAATTTAATTTCCTCAGACATTGAAATATCATCGTGTCCATTCTGTTCCATTCAGCCAAAACCCTTAGAGGCGATCATTTCTTTAAAGGGCCAAGAAAGTCAAAAGAAAACTGGACAGCCAGAGGCTTGACCTAATATCAGGATTTTGGAGTCCCATGTTGCAGGTACACTGTAGCTCTAACTAACTTTAAATAGCTTTCAATATATAACACACCAATGGTTAACAGCTTTCCAGTTAAAAAATTCTTCAACTTTCCTGCCCTAACATGGCATGTTCTTTCCAAAAGCACCAACAAGCCAACTGACAGCTATCAACACAATTCCACCAGATATTTTAGAGGCTGGAAACTCTGAGCCAAGGAAAGCAAGCATTCAGATAAGCTAAAGCACTTCCTAAGGGCCCTTGGTGCAGCTCGAATAGGTTTCAAATATCAGATTTACACATTTCTTTCACCGAGATTTGTCCTTAATTACTTCAAACATTTTGGAATTTAAACAGTTCGAAGAGAACTGCTTTTGGAATCAAGGGGAGGCCTTTTCTAAAAACTCCTCCAGAGTAAGCTTTTCATGCACCGTGCCACTTATTACATGAACATAAGGAACCAGCTGCAAGAAGTATTTGTGGCAATATCTGAAGGAAAACTTTTCCTCTGCTGCCCATTCACCAAATTGCCACCAATGCTTGCCTGTATTTCTAACAAATTTGTTAGCCAACTTTCTCCAGATGATCTGCCAACATTTGGTTGACAACATCTGTACTTTCAGAGCTAGAATTCACATTCACTTTTATTTAGTTTCCCTCAAAGCTTCCAATTAACTTTTGAAAATCAGTCACAGCTGCCCCATTTAATCCAGTCCATCCCTCCTAATTCTTGGAAGCTCAGGAATATACCTGAGATCAATATATTTATCACAGTGTTCTACTCTCCTTGTAGAACCACGTACCTGATTCCAACACTAGTTTCGATCCGGGAATTCGAGGGCCATGCCAGACGGTTTTTAATAAAGCCTTTGAGCTCCTCAAACTACAAGGTTGACTGCAAGAGCATCTTCTTGCCAAGAGCATCTTTTAGAATCCAAAAGCAGGGGAAATTTAACTTCTGTTTTTAAAAATTCAGGGAAAGTGCAAATCTCTTGATTATATGGAGGCATACTACCTATCTTTACTTCCTGCGGCTCTCCCTTTTTCCAAAAAGAATTAAGTCCCAAGTCCTCCATATCAACATCTGCTGCAAAACTTTTACATGCATCAGCAATGGGTCGATATCCGGTACATCTACACAGATTTCCTGCAATAGCTTTTTCAGCTTCATTGACTGTAAGCTTGGAGAAACCCGGAGAAGGCTCTGGTCTATCAGTTTTTTCAGCTTTAACAAGGGCTCCAAACAAGGACATGCACATTCCAGGAGTACAAAAGCCACATTGGGAAGCATGGAATCCACTGAACCTTTGGTGAATTGAGTGGAAACCATCTTTACTATTACCAAGGCCTTCACTTGTTGTGATTGAGGCTCCATTTATGCTGCAGAGGAGCGTAAGACATGAGCTCACTGTAAGATCCTCAACTTGGTCAAGCACTGGATTGTACTTGGAGAGCAAAACGACACAAGCACCACAACCACCTAAAATCATAAATTACAATTTATAGAGCACATTATTAAGAAACAGTAAAGTGTTTTACATTCCTATTTATTCATTCTTAATTACATTCTGACATAATCTGGGGCACAAGAAAACTCAAAGGTCAAGGAAGAAAAAATAAAAAGAAAAAAAGATTATGTAATCAAAACAAGTATCTAGCAGATTACTTACCTAAGTTACATTAATAGTTTTTTCCTTTCATTCCTTTTCTAATTTTTCCCTCATCGGAGGGAAACAGAATATTATTCATCTATAGAAAAAAATACACTCCATAACCTTTTGATGTCTCCTTTCCATTGATAAAGTTAACTAGTTACGTCGCAGGTTGACTATACTCGTTATATATTATTTTTACTTGTTTAATTTTTTATTTATATAATATTAAAGCTATCTATTTATTGTAAAGGATATCTAAATCTCTTACTAATTGATTAAGTAATGAAAAAAATTATTATTAAAAATAAACCTCTCTAGAACTAAACATATAATAAAAAACAAATTACATTAAAAAACTATCAATTTAAAATCTCAAAAATTAGCTAATTCTTTAATTGGAAAGTCTATTGATTTTGATGTTGAAGGACAAAAAAAAAAAAAAAAAAAAAAAAAAAAAAAAAAAAAGGACTAAAGTCCAATTTCTTTTTATGCAAACCACACTGCTGGGGGACAAAGAGATACCGAAGCTTGTCTACAACTTGTGAGTTATGTGCTTTGATCAGGAATTACATTGATGATCTATTCTTGATCTATCTTGGCATTGTATTCAGCTGCATGACTATTTTGAAGTATCTAGCTCTGATTAAATTTCTAAAATGGTTCGTTATTTGCGTTACATATATAATCATGTATCCAGTTTGAATAAAAATAATAAAAGAGGAAATTTGAAACATTCCTAAAAAGGAGGCGAGACACTCATAATGGGAATGAGTGTATGCAATTCTTTTGTTTATAGTATAAAATAATCCAACCAATATATATGGAAAAAAGAAAAAAAAAATAAAAGTGTTGCATTTTTAAATAAAAAAAAATTGAAGAAACATAAATATAAATAGGTTAGATATAAATAAGAAAAATTTAAAAGTTTGAAAGTTAATTGAAGTTAATTAACATGCGGAATAATGATTAGTAATTATTACTAATGAGTTTTAATGTGTGAAAGAATTTGTTATATAATTTTGTTTTATTTGTGAAAGAACACGTGGAATATGTATATTTTTATGTATTTTATAAATTTATTTTTTTGTTAAATTAATTAACATCTTAATTAAAAAGATAAAATTTTAAATTTTAAAATGCTTAATTATCCATATGTATTTATTTAAAAAATAAATTTAATAGATTATATCCAATCGACTAAATAAAATATAATTTTCTAATTGGCTATGACTAAGGCTATTTTAAGATTTCTAAAATTTCACTAAGGTCATTATAGGTAATCTCATTATTCCACCGCTCATTCTCACTTTTATATATAATATAGATTAGTTAACATTTTTTATATATTAATAATTATGTTTATACAATAAGAATAATTATGTTTATACAATAAGAGCCCATATATTTTAACACTCTCTCTGAAGCCCTTAAGTGACAATTGGGCCACCCGACAAGGATACTATGGTCCGGCCCACACAACAACTTCCCAGGCTATAATACAATGTTAAAAACCTAAGTTTAGTTAAATTAATTAATAATTATATTAAAAATTGACATATATATTCTTAAAATATCCTTTTTTTGGGTGAACCGTCTTCAAGGAACTCTTATCAACACGTATCCTTATATTTCTCATTGATTGCCACGTGGCCCCCTTATCAACGTGAGTTGACGCCATCCCACCAAAGCCAAATTGAGCAGCCGTAGTTACTTTAAATCTAATTTTCTATTGCACTGTATTATTCCATTTCTGTCGTTTTTGTGGAAATTCTTTTGCTAATAAGCTTGCTTGGCATTTGTTGTGTATTAAATTAAAGTAAAAACTAAAAGTCCGGCTGAACAAAATCATCGAACCAAAGCCAATCCGTTCGGTTCGGTACCGTCCCCATTTGCAACGTCGGTACCGTCCCCATTTGCAACGCAACAGTGTCCTTTCAAAATAGTTCAACTCAATTTTACAAAGACTGTGTTCTTGCGATAATATTTTAGAAAACTTTTGTTAAAATGTAAGTGTCTTATAAAAGTTAACATATATAACGTTTAACTTTTAGTATTAAAAGAAAAATTATTCCGTTTTATAACAAGTTAACCTATGTAATGTGTAGCTATTAGCGGATGAAAAGCTATTTAAATAGTGCTATCAAAACAACTAATTTTACCGAATAGACTAAAAATCTAATCAGTTAGGAATAAAACCGAAATGATTCTATAAAAAGTTGATTCAATTCTCACAATGATTTCGATCCGATTCTAATTCATCTATAGTGCAATTTGATTTTGAGTTAATTCTAACTCTGAGCTTTTGCCTACTAGAATGGTGAGTCAAATTTCAAGACAAGAATTGAAGGACCTAAACCATTGAAACATCAAAATTAAAATTGAATTATCTCAAAGTTCGATCTAATTCAGTTTAGAAATTCTATCTATTCAAATTACAATTTCGTTAGCATATATTCAAAAAAAAAAAAAAAAAAAACTTTAATTACTACTAGATTAGACATGTATAACAGTCAAACAAAAAATAAGAAAAATGAAATAATTTATAGGCAAATAAGAAAAATAATGAGCTACTCAGTCATACGAGAAACTTGTATTTGAACTTGTATTATACAGAGGAAGAAGAAGATAGAGTACCTTCACCGCAACCGAGCTTGACGCTTTTGAAACTAGTCTGTGTACGCAGGAATTCAAGCAAAGTCGTAGAAGGATCAACACTAGAAAGCTCAAATCTCTTTCCATTAACAGCAAAAACCAAACTGTTCTTATTTCCAGTTTCTCTTTCTTCTTCCATTTCAGTCGAGCCAAACAAAGAAGAAGAAGAAAAGCTGCATTGAGCCTATCGCTTCACAAATATATAAACGACGAGAGAAAACTACCGTGGAACACAGAGAGCCAAAGAAGATGTCACAGTCACTTGCGTTCGCTTTTAACTACTTTGTTTCTTTATACAAAAAAAAAAAAAAAAGAAAAAAGGATTAAATAAATAAATCAACAGTACATTATTGAAAGTGTTGAAACATTCAAATTGAACGCAGTGCAGGATGTGGTATTTCTAATTTTATATGGAAAAGAAAGAAAAAGGTTATGGAAAAGAAAGAAAAAGGTTCTTCAATGGCGGACATAACTTATGCACGTCATTGTCGTTGATTAATTTCAATTCGTCAAATTCATAATTTTCAGCTGGCAGCTAAGCTTTTGGGTTCAACAAATATTAAACATTCAAGGATAATTCTGAATAGGAGTTTACAAACGTTTCCGCACCATTACGGCTTCCAAAGGAAATTTTTCGTGCAATATAAGTGTTTATAACTTAGCACAATTAATTATTTAATCCCATATTTTAAAAAATGCGTATGCATTCCTTTAATTAATTAGGCTCCATTTGTTATAATTATTTGTTTTTAATTTTTTATTTATTAAAAATATGAAGCATATTTTAGTTTTTGGTTGCTTCTTTGTTTCAAAATTTTTTTTCCTAAATTTTTTTTTTCTTTTAGTTTATGACGTGAAAAACTCTTCCAATTATCAAGTATCTCCCATATTAAGTCATTAAAGAATTTAGTTAATAATAAAAATTTTAAAAATCTAAAATTTGAGAAAAAATGATTAAAAATATTTTATACTGTAATTTTCAAATTTCAAAGTTACAGTAAAGTAACTATTATTTTTTTTTTTAAAGGAATAACTATTGATATTATGTATACGATCAATCGAATAAAAATATAATATCTAAATATTATGACAAAAATAATACTAAATCACATTAGATTTATATAGATAAAGAAAATAATAATAAATTTAAAAATAATACTAAATAAAGAAAAAATAGGAAAAAGGTAAAGAATTTTAATAGAGATAAAACTTATATTTTTTATATATAAATGACGTTAGATTTATACAAATAGAAAAAAGAAATAATAATAATTTTATGAGTATAAATCTTATAAAAATGAAAAAAAGGAAGAATATAGAATTCAAAAAAAAAAAAAAAAAAAAAAAAAAAAAAAAAAAAAAAAAAAAAAAAAAAGACAGTTACGTGAACTTTACGAGTATTGTCAAACATGCAATACTATTATTAGTATCAAAACATTAAATGCCGTATGAAAGTCGTTGCCTAACAAATTTGTTAGTTAATGCAAGGACCTACAGGATTAATTGCATGTATTAACTTAAACTTTGAAATTTGCGAAGCCTTTTACAGACAAATAAATAAATTGTTAATGCATATATTCTTTTGTTGCTTAGCTCAGGCCTGCCTGCGATCAAAAATGGTGGCTGCAATTTTTGTTTTTAGTTTACTTTTTTTTTGCCGTATGAAAGTCGTTGCCTAACAAATTTGTTAGTTAATGCAAGGACCTACAGGATTAATTGCATGTATTAACTTAAACTTTGAAATTTGCGAAGCCTTTTACAGACAAATAAATAAATTGTTAATGCATATATTCTTTTGTTGCTTAGCTCAGGCCTGCCTGCGATCAAAAATGGTGGCTGCAATTTTTGTTTTTAGTTTACTTTTTTTTTTACTTTTTTTTTTTTTTTTTTTTTACACAGTTTATTTAGTTTTTTAGAATAAAAAACAATTTAGTTAATATATATATACATAATATATTAAAATGCAAATCAGGTCCCAACAATTTTCATACAATTATCTTTTGTTGCCAATTGAATTAAAAATTATCTTTTGTTGCCATTGAATTACTTATATTATTAATTTTAATTTTAAGTTATTTAATTTTATATATGTTTTTAAATTTTAGTTTTGAATTTGATTTCATTCTATGAATATATAAAATTCACGTAAATGTATATTTCAATTGTTTGTTATAAAATATTTAATTACAAATTAACAAACTTAAAAAAATTTTAGAATTCTAAATTTATTGAATAAATACATGATGTTTAATTTATTCAAAGGGATAGATTTAATATTATAATTCATGATTCTATTTTAATAGTTTTTAATAGTTTTTACAAAGTAATATGAAATTGAATTGACTGAATTTAAAATTACAATAACATATTTTAAATTTTAAATTTTAAATTTTAAGTACTATAATAGTTATTTTCATTGTAATTTCTAATATATAAATTTTAAGAAATCTTTTTTCTATTGAAAGTCATTATGTATACTAAAAAATCTGTATTATTTTTAAAAATATAGAGATGTAAATATTTAATTAGCCAAGTCATAGGGACTAGAATTAATTTTTTAATCAACAACATGTAAAATTATACTCTCTATCTATTATTATAAATGCTTTAAAATTTATTTTAACTCGTTAGGAGATGAAAGTTCGAAATAACATAACGGGCTCTACAATGATAACTTGACATAAGGGAGATAATATCTCCACTTTGTCAAGAATGTAACAGAGATAACATCTTCACTCTCTTAGTTATATAGGAGACCTTACAAACAATAAAAAGATCATACAACGGAGACATTTTTTTGCAAATCACCACGTAATATTAATTAAATGATAAAAAATAAAAATTACTATTCAAAAATTTGTGAAAAAAGATAAATGATGTGATAGCAATTTAAATTTGTTATTTCTTGTGTTTCCTCGTAAAAATGAAAAAGGTACATGCAAGATTTGGTGTAAGATGACGTGCTTCCTTACGTTTTGGAAGACAGATGCAAAGGAAAAATCAAACTCAAGAGTGCCTTTTGACTTGTTACTGTATTGATTCGGGTCAAATTAAACGGTTGATTTACTTAATTATATAATAAATAAATTATTATTCAATTTAATAACTTTAATTAAATTATTTTTTATTATTCCACTTTAATAACAATTTAATAACTTTAATTAAATTATTTTTTATATTTATTTTCATTATGCCATGTAAGACAATATTTCATTCAAAGCTCAAATTGACAATTGAAAATTTTCACTTAACTTTTTATGTTTTTTTTAAAAGTTAACTTTAAAATGATAAAATAATAGTTTTTTTGTATATTACTGATAGTTAAAAAACAAATAAAAGATTATGAAGAGAAAAGTAATAAATTTAAGATATGATTGTCGATTTAACATTAATCTATTTTGACAATACAAAACATTACAATTGGCATCAATTCGTGGAAAAATGGTTAAATAATAAAGAAATCCAATAGAGAATTGGCAACAAAAAGGTTAATAAAAAAAAGGAGTAATCCAATCATAAAAACTAAGTAATACTACCTTCGTTCCATAATACTTATCACATTTGAAAAAATAATTTGAAACGTTCCATAATACTTATCACATTTGAAAAAATAATTTGAAACTGTAGTTTTAAAGAGTAATAAATCTTTTCTTTTTCATATTTACCCTTTATATAAATCAATAAGTATTATTTCAATTTAATGATTTTCTTAGAGAATTAGTATTAAATTAAGAATAGTATAATCAATTTACTCAATAATTTATTGTAATTTAAATAAATTTAATAATTTTCTCAAGAGAAGTGAAATTTCAAATATAACAAATATTATAAAATAAAGGTAGTAAAAGTATCTCCGATGCAAATACTGATTGCTCATCAAAACAATGAAAAGACCGCTCTTATTTAATTGTCATATCAAAAAAATGGAAAGACTTTTTGAAAAATACTCTCCAATACTAATACCTATTTAGGATGTCAGCTGATGTGTCAAAAAAATAATAATAATAGACATTATCTACTACACCTATTTTTAGAGGATCTCGTAGACAATGTTAACATTTATTGTTCTTTGGTGATTGGTTGCATATTAAATTGCGGGCCTAGAAGAGAGAAAAAAGAGAATAAAAGAAAATTCCAAACTAATACATTGAAGAGTGTTTTAAAATTCATTGTCTATAAATAGACACTCAACCATCATCGTTCACACCTTCTATTTCACATAACACCCACAATCCACGTTAGCATCAGAAATAATCTAAGCTATACACTTCATCCATCTTATAAAGATAGATTGTCTATATTCCATTTTGGGATGTACCAAAATAAATGTCCATTTCTATTTGTAGCATGCATTTAATTTTTTTTCCCTTTTTCACCCTTCAATAAATTCACTTTCACATGTGATTTATATCTATAAACTTGAGCTAATTTATTGTGAATAAAGGTAGAAAAGAGAAACACGTAAATTATCACTATATTAATTATATTTTCTTAGAATTTGTAGAAAAAGAAATGCGATTAATTATATTTTCTTAGAATTTGTAGAAAAAGAAATGCGACAATCTTTTGAGAGAGAGGGAGTAAGTACGCAAGAAAATGCTCACAAAGAAAAAAAAATTTTCATTCTTGCTGCCATAATGATTCCTTGTATTCATGATACATAAAATAAATTTGATCTTGTCTGGAAAGCATCTTCTAGACCATCACTAGGAAACTAAACACCAATTTCCTATCACTAACCGCACAACATGGCCAGGCCTTACCAATTTCCCAACCAAAGGAACACCACAAGTACAAGTTCCTTATATTAAAGCCATTGCAATAGAAACTCTAGAGAAGGGTTGAGGGAAGGAGCAACAATTCTGTGCTTATCATTTGAAGCACCAATGTTGCACGGAAACAGAAACGAAGAAATGTGAAAATGCGAAAACAACATTTAAAATATAATTTTACACGGGAAAACAGTATTTTGCCCATGGCTAGGAGTTTCGATGCAACATAGTGAAGCACTACATTTAAAATGGATGTTATAACTCTGCATACACTCAAAACAAAAGGGATAACTGGCTTGGATGGACAAGGACCATGGTACAAATACCACACATGCTGAGGTAGCAGACACTAAGAAGTGCTTCAATGAAGGTAACCAACAAAGGTTGGAAATATCCTTCCGTTTTCATACTCAAATTCACTAATTCAAGCATATTGCTGACAATCCATCCGTCACGGTGATTTGCACAGAGCACAGCTCTGAATTTAAAGGTCGTAAGGTTCATTTCAGTACCTATATAACGAGTTGGGTTCATTTCATTACCTATTTATGAGTAGTACTCGTTATAGTTGAGATATCCCCAAAAACAAGAAAGCCCAAACTTTCCATGCCTAGGTGACTTGAGATAACATAGATGCAATTCTTTTAAATTTTTGTCAAACTTCTGCTTTATGGCAAGCACCTGCAAAAGCGAAACACTTTATTAGTAGTCCAATATGAGCTACACAGACATGTATAGCTGAGCTTATCTCAAAATAATACAAATTAGTGTTTCACAAGTAAAACAATGTAACAAGAGCATGAGGCATCTCTGTATTATTTGGCATTCAGTTGACTCTCTGGCCTGATGGCTTAAGAAAGAATCCATATTCACATGAAGCTTCTCCACCGAACCAATAAATATGGAAATGCCACTTTTAAGATATTAATCAACACATATTGGAGAAAGATGTAGGAAATCACCTGGGATAGCTTGGGATATATTGATTCCTAGAAGTTTACTCAGAAGTCGTATATTGATCCTTCCCCATCCCAGCACATTCTAGCCAGTAAACGAGAGAATGGAGTCTAGAGGCACAATTGCAAAAATGCTTTCTATGATGCTGGCTACAGACCGTGTTTCATCGATAAAAACATCCTGTGAAGTTTTATATCCACTGTTAAGTATCAAGAACTATCATTAATGGAAATGAAAAAAAAGAGCAAGGTGCAATAACTGCATATAGTTTATGAAATATATAAGAGAAAAGAACCGAGTTCAGCAGACAAATATAGGTAGTATATAAATTCGGACGAAATTCAATTTAATTCATGTCTATAGGAACATAGGAATCATGTATTAAGAAAGAGGCTTGAAACACCTTCCTTACTCAGCTAGATGCATTGAATAAATCAAAAACATAACGACAATTCCAACAATGAGGAAAATAATAGTATTCCATGCTAAAAATCCTTAGGTTCAGCTGTAAAACATATTCTTTTCAGGACAAGGAGCTTTGGGAAGAATACTATCATTCTCCTTTACAGTTAGCATATGAGCATGCGAAACACCCACAATTAGGTTGGTTAGGTAATCTCTTTTCCCTCATTTGACTTCAAAAGTTACATATAATTCTGTTCCATCCTATCCTTGCAATTTGCAACGATTGTGGTCAATGAAAGAGACTGAACAAGGTTATCTCGCCATGGGAAAAAATGACAAAAATGATACTGCAATCAACAGAAATGAGGCGAATGTTGCTACACAAGCGATGGCTGAAAAACATACCACGAATGCCAGAGGCTCTCCAGCATACTGAGTAAGCTCCTCAGCAAACAATGGTTCAGGACCAAATGCAAAGAGACTGCCAATATTTTGCCCACCTTTTGGAATGTCTTTGAAAGAAATGACTGCAGTGACTCCATCTGGAAGTGATTCTGAATTGAACTTTATACTCTTTACCCTCCATCTGGAAGTGATTCTGAATTGAACTTTATACTCTTTACCTTTGCAAAAGGCTTTGTGCTATAAATGAATGCTCCATGTAGACAATTTCTAGGAGAGGGAATGTCATCCACATATACAGCCTCACCTACAGAAGAAGTTAAACAAGTCAGTTTACTTTCGAAGGGGACAATTTGGAAAGAATCCAAATTTACTTATGAGGCATAATTTTCAATAATGTAAACCTCAATAAGAAAATTTTTGGACCTGTATCAAGTCAATGGAGGTAAAACAAATGTAAATTTCATATGGAAGGAAACTCAATGGTCAAACTGTACTATGAAAATGAGAATACTAACCAGAAGCTTGAAGAAAAGCTCCAGTTTTTGCAATCGGCTTCCCAACAGGATCATACTGCTTGTTTAATTGGATCACCTGCTTGGATGATAACAGCAAAGAGGGGGATTTAACATGATCCAGCTTATCATGGTTCTCCTTTAATTTAATTTCCTCAGACATTGAAATATCATCGTGTCCATTCTGTCCATTCCGCAACCCTTAGAGCCGATATTTCTTAAAGGGCCAAGAAAGTCAAAAAGAAAACTGACAGCCAACTTGACCTTATTCAGGATTTGATCCATGTTCAGGTACCACTGGTAAGCTCTAATTAATTTAAATTAGCTTCATATATAACACCAAGGTTAACAGCTTCCAGTTAAAAATTCTTCAACTTTTTGCCCTAGATGGCGATGTTTGGTTCCAAAGCCACCAAAAGCCAACTGACAGCATATTCACCAATTTCACACCAGATGATTTTGAGCTGCGAACTTGGAGCCAAGAAAGCAGGCGATTCAGATACAGCCTAAAGCACTTCCTAATGGCCTTGGTGCAGCTCGATAGGTTTCAAATATCAGATTACATTTCTTTCACGACGATTGTCCTTAATTACTTCAAATGGAATTTTTACGGTTGAGACAGAATGCTTTTTGGAATCCAAGGGAGGCCTTTCTAAAAACTTCCTCCACGAAGTAAGGTTCATGCACCGTGCCCACTTATTAATAACAATAGGAAACCACTGCAAGAAGTATTGTGGCAAATCTGAAGGAAAAACTTTTTCCTCTCGTGCCAATCACCAAAATTGCCTACATGCTTTGCCTATGTATTTCTAAACAATTTGTTGCACTTTCTCACCAGATGTCTGCAATTTTTGTTTGAACTATCTTACTTTCAGAGCTAAATTCACTATTCACTTTTATTTAGTCTCAAAGCTTCAATAACTTTGAAAAATAGTCACACTGCCCAATTTCAAATACCAGTCCCATCCCCCTAATCTTGAAGTCGATATATACCGAGACAGATATATTTTAATCACAGTGTTCTACTTTCCTTGTTAATAACACCGTACCCGATTTTCAACCACTAGTTCAATCCGGAATTCAGGGGCCATTGCCAAAGGTTTTAATAGCTTTGGAGCTCCTCAAAGCTTACAAGGTTGATGCCAAGAGGCCAAGAGCATCTTTTAGAATCCAAAAGCAGGGGAAATTTAACTTCTGTTTTTAAAAATTCAGGGAAAGTGCAAATCTCTTGATTATATGGAGGCATACTACCTATCTTTACTTCCTGCGGCTCTCCCTTTTTCCAAAAAGAATTAAGTCCCAAGTCCTCCATATCAACATCTGCTGCAAAACTTTTACATGCATCAGCAATGGGTCGATATCCGGTACATCTACACAGATTTCCTGCAATAGCTTTTTCAGCTTCATTGACTGTAAGCTTGGAGAAACCCGGAGAAGGCTCTGGTCTATCAGTTTTTTCAGCTTTAACAAGGGCTCCAAACAAGGACATGCACATTCCAGGAGTACAAAAGCCACATTGGGAAGCATGGAATCCACTGAACCTTTGGTGAATTGAGTGGAAACCATCTTTACTATTACCAAGGCCTTCACTTGTTGTGATTGAGGCTCCATTTATGCTGCAGAGGAGCGTAAGACATGAGCTCACTGTAAGATCCTCAACTTGGTCAAGCACTGGATTGTACTTGGAGAGCAAAACGACACAAGCACCACAACCACCTAAAATCATAAATTACAATTTATTTAGAGCACATATTAAGAAACAGTAAGTGTTCTACAGTTCCTATTTATTCAGTTAATCTACATTCTGACATAATCTTGGCACCAAGAAAACTCAAGGAAGAAAAAATAAAAAGAAAAAAGATTGTAATCAAAACAATTACCTAGCAGATCACTTGCCTAAGTTACATTAATAGTTTTTTCCTTTCATTCCTTTTCTAATTTTTCCCTCATCGGAGGGAAACAGAATATTATTCATCTATAGAAAATAATCTAACCGGTTTTATAGAATTGAAATATTGATCTAATGAAATATGGTGAGTTAACAATCAATATATATGGAAAAACGAAAAAAAATAAAAAAAAGTGTTGCATTTATAAATAAAAAAAATTGAAGAAACATAAATATAAATAGGTTAGATATAAATAGAAAAGTTTGAAAGTTAATTGAAGTTAATTAACATGCGGAATAATGATTAGTAACTCTAATGAGTTTTAATGTGTGAAAGAATTTGTTATATAATTTTGTTTTATGTGTGAAAGAACACGTGGAACATGTATATTTTTATGTATTTTATTTTTTTGTTAAATTAATTAATATCTTAATTAAAAAAGATAAAATTTGCTATATTTATATTTAATTGGCTACTTTAGGATTTCTAAAATTTCACTGAGGTCATTATAGGTAATCTCATTATTCCCCTCTCATTCTCACTTTTATATATAATATATATTAGTTAACATTTTTTATATATCACATTTAAAGAGATTAAACATCTTATAAATAAAATTCCAAACTTTAAATCTTATTAAAAAAAATCAATAATTATAGAGTATTTTTTTTTTTAATGAATAACTAGAGGATTAAAAAAATTATTTGAATTTAAAACTTAATAGTATAATACAAAATGATATATAAATATACAGAGAGAGAGTGCAATGGATCATCAGAATACTGCACAGCAGGCTTCATCAATGAAAAACTTTCGTAAACAATGTTGGTAAGAATCTGGACGTAGGAGCCATTAGTCAAATTTAATTAATAATATTATATTAATAATTATGTTTATACAATAAGAGCCCATATATTTTAACACTCTCTCTGAAGCCCTTAAGTGACAATTGGGCCACTTGACAAGGATACTATGGTCCGGCCCACACAACAACTTCCCAGACTATAATACAATGTTAAAAACCTAAGTTTAGTTAAATTAATTAATAATTATATTAAAAATTGACATATATATTCTTAAATTATCCTTTTTTGGGTGAACCGTCTTCAAGGTTTTTGGGTGAACCGTCTTCAAGGAAATCTTATCAACACGTACCCTTATATTTCTCATTGATTGCCACGTGGCCCCCTTATCAACGTGAGTTGACGCCATCCCACCAAAGCCAAATTGAGCAGCCGTAGTTACTTTAAATCTAATTTTCTATTGCACTGTATTATTCCATTTCTGTCGTTTTTGTGGAAATTCTTTTGCTAATAAGCTTGCTTGGCATTTGTTGTGTATTAAATTAAAGTAAAAACTAAAAGTCCGGCTGAACAAAATCATCGAACCAAAGCCAATCCGTTCGGTTCGGTACCGTCCCCATTTGCAACGGTACCGTCCCCATTTGCAACGCAACAGTGTCCTTTCAAAATAGTTCAACTCAATTTTACAAAGACTGTGTTCTTGCGATAATATTTTAGAAAACTTTTGTTAAAACGTAAGTGTTTTATGAAAGTTAACGTATATAACGTTTAGCTTTTAGTATTAGAAGAAAAATTATTCCGTTTTATAACAAGTTAACCTATGTAATGTATAGCTATTAGCGGATGAAAAGCTATTCAAATAGTGCTATCAAAACAACTAATTTTACTGAATAGACTAAAAATCTAATCAGTTAGAAATAAAATCAAAATGATTCTATAAAAAGTTGATTCAATTCTCACAATGATTTCGATCCGATTCTAATTCATCTATAGTGCAATTTGATTTTGAGTTGATTCTAACTCTGAACTTTTGCCTACCAAAATGGTGAGTCAAATTTCAAGACAAGAATTGAAGGACCTAAACCATTGAAACATCAAAATTAAAATTGAATTATCTCAAAGTTCGATCTAATTCAGTTTAGAAATTCTAATCAATTCAATTTCGTTTGGCCTAATTCAAAAAAAAAAAAACTATAATTACTAATAGATTAGCATTAGAAAATTAAAAAAAAAAATAAGAAAAATGAAATATATTTATAGAAATATAATTATAAGGCAAATAAAAGAAAATAACGAATTCTGAAAGGGCGGAGCACATGAACTTGTATTATACAGAAGGAAGAAAAGAAGATAGAGTACCTTTCACCGGCACCGAGCTTGACGCTTTTTGAAAAACTAGTCTGTGTACGCAGAGAATTTCAAGCAAACGTCCGTAGAGGATCAACACTAGAAAGCTCAAATCTCTTTCCCATAACAGCAAAAAAACAAACTGTTCTATTTCCCAGTTTCCTCTTTCTCTTCATTTCAGTCGAGCCAAACAAAGAAAGAAGAAAAAAGCTGCAATTGAGCCTATCGCTTACAATATATAAACGACGAGAAGAAAACTACCGTGGAAACACAGATGAGCCATAAAGAAGATGTCACAGTCACTTTGCGTTCGCTTTTAACTACTTTGTTTTTTTATACAAAAAAAAAAAAAAAGAAAAAAGGATTAAATAAATAAATCAACAGTACATTATTGAAAGTGTTGAAACATTCAAATTGAACGCAGTGCAGGATGTGGTATTTCTAATTTTATATGGAAAAGAAAGAAAAAGGTTCTTCAATGGCGGACATAACTTATGCACGTCATTGTCGTTGATTAATTTCAATTCGTCAAATCCATAATGTTCAGCTGGCAGCTAAGCTTTTGGGTTGAACAAATATTAACCATTCAAGGATAATTCTGAATCGGAGTTTACAAGCGTTTCCTTACCGTTACGGCGTCCAAAGGAAATTTTTCGTGCAATATAAGTGTTTATAATTTAGCATAATTAATTATTTAATCCCATATTTTAAAAAATGTATATGCATTTCCTTCAATTATTAGTTGTTTGTTTTTAATTTTTATTTATTAAAAACATGAAGCATATTTTAGTTTTTGGTTGCTTCAGCATATTTTAGTTTTTGGTTGCTTCTTTGTTTCAAAATTTTTTTTCCTAAATTTTTTTTTCTTTTAGTTTATGATGTGAAAATGATAGGTGATCTTAGGGCTTCTCAACCTCAAAAGCTAGCTCAAGAGGTGGTTTTCCCTCACACTTATAATTTGATCCATCAGCCGCTTCCACAACCGATGTGGGATTACCCAACAATCGGTCTCCCCCTCACACATCGGGCCATGGATTGGAGGAGCAACAACCCGTACTCTCCTGGAAACTGGGTTGAGATTGCTGTAACCTGGGTTTTGATACCACTGATAGGTGATCTTGGGCCTTCTCAACTCCAAAAGCTACCTCAAGAGATGAGGTTTTCCCTCACACTTACAATTTGATCCGCCAGCCCCTTCCACAACCGATGTGGGATAACCCAACAAAAAACTCTTCCAATTGTCAATTATCTCCTATATTAAGTCATTAAAGATTTTAGTTAATAATAAAAATTTTAAAGTTAATAATAAAAATTTTAAAAATCTAAAATTTGAGAAAAAATGATTAAAAATATTTTATATTGTAATTTTCAAATTTCAAAGTTACAGTAACTATTATTTTTTTAAATAAAAAATAAAAAATAACTATTGATATTATGTATACTATTAATGGAATAAAAATATAATATCTAAATATTATGATAAAAATAATACTAAATAACATTAGATTTATATAGATAAAGAAAATAGTAACAAATTTAAAAATAATACTAAAATAGAGAAGAGATAAGGAAAAAAGGCAAAGAATTTTAATAGAGATAAACCTATCTGCTTGTATATTTTTATATATAAATAACATTAGATTTGTATAAATAGAAAAAAGAAATAATAATAATTTTATGAGTATAAATCTTATAAAAATGAAAAAAAGGAAGAATATAGAATTCAAAAAAAAAAAAAAAAAAAAAAAACAAAAAAAAGACAGTTACGTGAACTTTACGAGTATTGTCCAAACATGCAATACTATTATTTAGTATCAAACATTAAATGCCGTATGAAAGTCGTTGCCTAACAAATTTGTTTAGTTAATTGCAGAGGACCTACAGGATTAATTGCATGTATTAACTAACTTTGAAATTTGCCGAAGCCTTTTACACGACAAATAACATAAATTGTTAAGCATATATTCTTTTGTGCCTTAGCTCAAGGCTGCCTGGATCAAAAATGGTGGCTGCAATTTTTTGTTTTTAGTTTTACTTTTTTTCTTTTTAAACAGTTTTATTTAGTGTTTATATATAACAATTTTTAGTTACTATATATATATATATATATATATTAAAAGTAAAATTAATTCTTTTGTTGCCATTGAATATACTTAATATTATTAATTTAATTTTAAAGTTATTTAAATTTTATATATGTTTTTTAAATTTTAGTTTTGAATTTGATGTTCATTCTTAATCGAATGTTATAAAATTCCACGTAATATGGTATATTTCAAATTGTTTGGTTATAGATTATTTATTTAAAACTTAACAAACTTAAAAAAAATTTTAGAATTCTAAAATTTAATTGAATAAATACATGAGGTTTATTTATTCAAAGTAGACTTGGATTTAATAATTATAATTCATATGCTTCCTATTTTAATAGTTTTTACAAAGTAATATGAAATTGTAATGACTGAATTTAAAATTACAATAACATATTTTTAAATTTTAAAATTTGAATACTATATAGTTTGTTTTCATTGTAACTAATTTTATAAATTTTAAGAAATTTTTTTCTATTGAAGTCATATGTTATTAAAAATCTGTATTATTGTTCAGAAAATATAAAGAAATGTAAATAGCGTTAATTAAGCCAAATCATAGGGACTAGAATTAATTTTTTAATTCAACAACATGTA